ATAGCTCTAGTGCCTACACGGACACACATACACACATTCTAGCGTTCGAATAAAATTTATGAAATTAAAAAAAAAATATTGAGAACGTTGTTCTGTCAACGTTCAAATGTTTGGCTGAGAGACATAGTTTATTCTACTTGTTCCTTTTACGTTAGTCGATGGGCTAGTATGAGGTCAGTCCTAAATTAACTCTAAACATTTGAGTATGTGTGTGTGTGTGCGTGTGAGTATGTGTGTTTGTGTGGGGGATACGCACAAGAGTTATCATACAAAACACATCTGTCAATAGCTCATTGCTGCTTTTATCACTAACGTGATAAATAAAACTGTGGGCATAATTATACCACCACTTAAGAATGTCATAATTTATGGTAACACTCCATGTTAGCTAGGATATCTATGGGGAAATTCCGTGATGGTAATGTGGTTGAACCTGGAGTTGAAATTATTATCATAATCGGAGGGCTATAAACTATTCCATATATATTTTGATGAAAATTATAGTTGGCAAAACATATGTAAAAAATATTCTTTTTACTTTCTAAATTCTATATACAAAAATTGCTATAACCTCTAATTTTTAATGTAGTATTTACCATATTAAGATTGCATTTTCATTACAGATAATTTTGGAGTGATCATCGAAGTATGTACTACATTATTGACTTCTCGCGGATATATACTTGTAGGCTCTGGAAATGTATGTAGGTTTTAATGAAGAAATTAAATAATACGAGAAGGGTTGATTTTTTTTTTTTAATTTTTATTCGTTTAATTTTAATTTACTTTATATTTAAAGTTTAATTTTTTTAATAATAATTTGAAATATAACATTTATAATCTGTGGGGCAATAATGTATCTATTTTTTGTATTAACGTCAAGTATCGTTCAAATGAAACAAATAAAATGTATGTGAACTTTTTCATATCTATCGCAAGGCCTTAACGACTACTTCATTTTGGTCGTTAACTTACCAATCATTTCTGTTAATTAACGTATTTAAAAGCTAATTAAAATTTGTAGTTATCGACAATTGTCGTTAAATCTGTCATTAAACAGTTGCAGAATAGCACTACTGGTCTAACTGCATTTTTTGAAAAAATAAATCGGATAAAAATTATATATGGGAGCTGGATCTAAATGTAAACTGATTTCGACCAATTCGATTACTATAAATCATGATTTCTGTATTTGGCTAAAAGGTCGTTTACATTGAACCGGATTTGGTTAACCCAGTGGGTTTAAATTTTCAATTCCTTTGAATATATGCCAAATAAATCCTCATAAAGTAGGTTAACCCGGTAAAAAGTTCTAATGTAAATGCCGTATAAATAAGTTTTTTCGAACTTAGCAATATGTCTTGAATGACGGAATTGTCTTGTTTCGTTAATAACACAAAAACATCATATAAACCAATGATTTCCAACATTTTAAATGTCAAAATGTATGTCTTTTTATTACAACATGATAAATAAGACAAAAACTTCCTGAAATATTTTGTGTTCAATATTTGCTATCAGTTTTCAACATTTCAACCATTGGAGCCACAGCAAATGATAAATTTTATTATGGAAAATCTCTCTCAAATTAAATAAAGTAGCAAAATTATTGTATTGATGTTATAAACAATATTGGGTATAAACAAATAAAATCATTTATTATAGCTGCTGCTTCGTTTATCAGTTGTGACAAAACCAATAGCAGTAGTATTTTATTTGTGTGAAACAGTCATACCTCGATAGAATCGATTACAATTTCATTATAATTCGCTTCTACATATGCATAATATATTAATTTGAAAATGTATTATGCTTGCATTTAGTTATACCTCAATTCTGTTAATTACTTTTCAAAGTATTTCAAAGTGGTGCCCACTGTTCTTTTATGTTAAGGGTTTTTATTTTGGTAAAATAGAATTTATTACCCAAGTTGATTTATATCATACAATACGACACAAATATCACTCGCAGAACAAACAAACAAATCGTATACGATTTTGTTGTTGTTGTTGTCAATGACATAAGTCGTAGTGTGCCACGTCTTGCGGAGGATAGCGGACAGACAGAGGGAAAACCTAATGTTGTAAAATCGTCGTAATCACTGACGGTTAAAACTGATAAATTTCTATTTGGTTTGGATGTTTCGAGTAGCCAATGGCAGTGGATAAAGAAGTGTATACCGATACACTTGCATATATGAATTCCCTACACGGTTTATGGCCTCAATCAACAGTTGCTGGGGTGGCGGTGGCAGCATTCAGCCATGTACAGTAGCATGGATAGAAATATAAAACCAAACAAATCTATAATTCTTTATATGTTTGACATTCAAATAGAAGACATGTCCCTTCATCAATTAGTTAGCCCCCGTCTATATGTCTATTTAATCAATGTCAAATATATGTGTGTATATGTAATAGTTATTGATATGTCTAGAGATGAAACAAAAAGATAATTTTACAGCAAATATATTTTGAATTTCGTAGACTTGTAGGCATTTGTGCCTAAGGAGTAGTGATCGATATAGACAACATGGAGTCACTCAATCCCTTCTTCTTCTTTTCTATGTATTTTGTATCCGAGAACATTTTGCTCTAACTCACATAAGAAAACAATTATACAAATAGTATAAAGACATGTTCTTATGCCCACTTGTTTATATAAAATGTGTTGCCTAATATTATAATACCACCGCTATGACCACTAATCATTTGAGTTCCATACACTTGAATTCATTTATTAAATACAAGAAAAACGAAATATTATTCTGTTATAAATGATATGTGAATTTGTAATAGATATTATTACCCTTCATTTCTGTAATTACGTAAATTCTAAATTGATTTTATGTGAGAATTATTAAGTATCGGCTATAGTTTTTGTTCAAATTAATTAATTTATATATTTGACACTACATACTTCGACAAGAAAATAGTCTTTCCATATATAAAATGAATTAATTTTGCCAACAAACTGGAGATCAACAAAATATAGAGATTAGTATTTCCTAATAAAAAACAGTACAAAGCATCCCATGTAGGCCTAAAGTAAGGCGACCAGATTTTGAAAATAAAAATGTGTATAAAACCTACATTTGGATTTACTTATAAATATATAGAATGATTTAAAAAGTCGTTAATTACGATCGTGCCAAATGTTTGGTCATAAGCGAAAAATATTGGGTTCTTTATATAAGGAACACAGCAAAGAAGTAGATCCATGTCGATCCATCCAAGGATATTTTGCAATCCACAGGAATAGTAAATGACATTCACTTTTTGTAAAGTTAAAAAAATAAATGAAAAAGTGGTTTATATTGGAGACACCAAAAAACATATAACCCAACATGTCAAATTACAGCCAATTCGGTTGCAAAACGTTTCCAGGAACTCTAGAAATACAAAAATTTAAATTATGGATATTTGTTACCCAATTAGAACTCAAAATATATAATAACAGATAATTCGTTTGGAAAATGTGACTAAAAATTCTGAAAATACCTTTTCTAAATTTAAATTTGTTAATTTATTTTTATTTACAAAAATAAATGTTGATCAAGATTTTAAAGATATAGATGATGAATAAAGGACATAAATTAAAATAGATGATTGTCTGCGTTTTTATATAAAAATATTAATACTCAAAAAGTGGTAAAGCTTTTCAAATGAATAATGAGAAAATCGGAAAATATCGATTACTTCAAGACTCCTGCAGATTCATGAGTAGACCAAAATATATTGTTATTATATATATATATATATTTCTGAAAACAGTTAAACACAGTTAAATTGTTTCTTTTTTTTCAAATAAATTGTTTATTTTTTCATGATGTCACCTAATTTCATTTCCAAAATCTGGCCGCTTTTATAAAATGTTACTAACCTTTCGATTCTTATATTTTTTACGTATTTATCCCAAAACTTTTCCATGTACTTAATATTATACAATCTAGTATTTTTTACAATTAACAATATAAATACTGTATAATATCGTGCGCATAGGGCAGGGAAGGAAAATTTAGTACAATAGTACTTTTTTCAGTACCTTTTTGCCCCAAAATACCGTAGTACCGCCGTGACCATTTCAGTACCATTCTAATCCTTCATTAAACCATGATATATATATATATTTTTTATTTTTATTTTTTTTTTATTAGAGTTTGTTATGGATTTGACCGACAAAAGTTTGCATGAAACATTAAATTAAGTTAATGAGTTCCAATTTCTTTTAAATGGATATATTTGTCAGATAATCAATTTGGCATACTCTGTGCTATCTCCTGAGGAAGGCAAATTTATGACAATCCTAGTCGTTGTGATTACTTCAATAATTTCAAGAGCACTTTAGAACTGAAATTCATGTTAGTTTGGGGTATATTGGTATATTGGTAATGAAATCAAAATTATTGACTAATTTTGATTTACATACATACATATTCAAATGCAATCTAAAGAAGCAAGAATTCTCATATTATTACCATCGATCTTTATGAAACTGTATAATTTTTGTTTTTTTTTTTTGTATTTTATTGAAAAAAGTACTGTTTTATTTAAAATAGTATTCTTTTGGTACCTTTTAACTATTTTCATTTTCCATTTCATTTTCTTTGTTTCCCGGGCTTTCAATATATATTTGTTTAATTTATTTATAAAATATGTTATAAATAAATAACATTTTTTTTCGAAAAAAATTGCTATCGTTGCGACCGAATTGTAGCAGCATCAGACCCGAAATATGACGTACATTAGAACATAATGTCATAAATGTATTTCAGACTAAATTGTTGGCTGCAATAAGTGTTCCTAGCTTGGTTCATTAACATATTTTACATAGGGAAATATATGTGTATAAAATACACTTTGAAGTCTGTTTGAAAAATGAATAATACTGTAATAAACTGACCCCTCACGAAACTGCAAACTAGTAATCATAACAAAATAATCTTTAAATACCGACGGTATAATGCATTATTCCACACTCACAATATTTGTTTAACTTACTTATTGGATGCTTGCAGGGATTTGTCACAAATATTTCCTGAAAGTAGGGGCTACATATGGCCAGGACAATTTTGTGCGCCTGCAATAGTTTTCCGTCACAGGCCAATGTCACATCGACCAGGTCTCCTCGATCATACAAACTTTGAAAACCCGATGCAATGTTGTCCTGGAAATTCTTCCAGCACAATTTGAATTCATCATCCATGATGATGAGCTGCTCTTAAATGTCACTGTGCGAGCAATCGAAATGTTTGTCCACGGAAATCGCTGTTGTTCCACCAACAATGATGGCCAATGTTATGAATGATTTTTGATTATTTACTAGCTTAACTTCGTTTTTAATTGTTTTGTTTATTCATATTTCACCGTATTCTTTCACACTGACATTTGGCGAAAACGGCGATGTAAGCAAACGACGACAACGAATGGCAACACAAAATAGAAACGGAAAACCGACTACTGACAAAAACGTACGTTTGTAAGTATAACGGCAATTAAATTTTATTGGTTTAGTTTCTACACATAATTGGTCTTATTTGTTCAATAAAACCCAAATATTCATCTGTATTTATTTTCAGTTCACCGTATTCGTAGTGTTTAATTGAATTATGAAAATTATGTTTGATAATTTTACGTATTTTTTGTTTTTTTTTTTTTTTTTAAACCGAGTCACAAATTGGCATATCTTTCTTTGCGGCACTCAAATGTTTAAATACACTTTATAATTGCTAACGTATTGATTAGTTATTGTCAATTGATCTCTTTCCGGCGAGTTCCATACTTGTTCCGTCAACATCAATGAATGATTTGTTTATAAGTTTTTAAAACCGACCAAACATAGTACTTGAGGTTTGTTCAATGGAACGACTCCGCAGAATGAACGATCGGAACGATTTCCATCTCGTTCCTGTTCACTTTGCTTTTTCCACACTCAAGTAAAGCTTTGTTACACGATGTTGTAATGCCAAATGTGCTGGCAGTTTTTCTGTACGTACGGCATTTTTTATGTATTTATATTTTACATACAACTTTAACGTAATCCCAGTTATTTATTAGTGGGCAAAGCATGAAATTTCCAAAAGATTCTTGCATTTCTGCAACAGACTATTTGTGTGCAAACTTGTATATGCGATTTTGTTTATATGCTTTTCTCTCAACCAAATTTTTTGGTTCAAGTATTTTTTTCCATGAATTTATTGCATAAATTCTATATTTTGTAGATTAGGGTAGTTGAATCGAATTGACATTTGAGATCGAGTGATTTATTAGTCTGAACGTAGCATAAATCGAGATAATTTCAAATACAACCCTGCTTTTGTCCCAAACAATAATAGTTTTTCCTTAAAGTATGATTTAAAATTGTTAATATTCAAAATAACTGCCTGACAAAAATATGTCAACTGCTGAAAATTTATTTTTGATCGCATTCATAGTAAATTAAAACGACAAAGTTTTTTATGTATTTTTGACTAAAAGAGAACAGTTTCTACCAAAATTATTAAAATATTGATTCAAACATTGCCGCAGACATCATGAACACAGTGAAATGTGTATGTATTCTTAAACAAATAACATCTGACAAATCAACATAATTTCATTATAATAATAGTCTAAACAGTTATGATGATTGATATCCCGATTTACAAATCGAGTCGATTTAGAAAGCATGGTCTAAACGCGTCTTAATGCACATTATCAGAGGCAACTATATTTAATTTGAACGTATTTTGAAGCATATTTTTAGGAGAAGTAATTATGGTTTAATGCAAACGCATCATTGTACTTGAAATTATGTTGAATTTGGAGTAAATCGAAATTTTGAGTAGATTTAATTTTTTTATGGTAAATTGAGATTATTACGATAATAGCTATGGTCTGAAAGCACCTTATGGTACATTTTGCTGGAGAGTTTACTAAATGTGCCACTAAAGGTTTATATTTTTGTAAAGCAAACGTGGTCATGATACAATAATACAAGGTAGCATAACTTAAGGAGAATTAAAAAGCAACTATGTAGGTAGCGGCTTCTTCTGTCATCTATATATATAAAAGAGTTGCGTTATAAGTGACTGGCTGATCATTAACGCCCAGACGAAACGGCTAAAGCTAGAAACTTGAAAATTGGCATGTAGGTTGGGTTTGGTGCGTAGGCGTGTGATAAGACGGGGTTTCTGGAAATTCGTACTAAAAGGTACTAAAAACTGTATTACACGGGAACGATTAGATGTAGAACTCTGAAATTTGATACGTAGCATTGTCTAGATCGAGCAATGTGGTATGTGTGAACAATTTTTGGAATTTAGTACTAGAAGGTACTAAATAGTACTAAATATTATATTTGAATGAAATCGGAGAAGATTCATATTTGAAACTTGGTATGTAGCTTAAGCTATTACAAATAGAATGAGGTGTAAAAATATTGTTTGGCAATTAGTACTAAAATGGTTCTAAAAAGTACTAAAACTGTATTACGCGGGAACGGTTAGATGTAGAACTCTGAAATTTGGTATGCAGCTTTGCCTAGCATAAGCGAAGTAATAGATGTGAAACCATTCTGGAATTTAGTGCTAAAAGGTGCTAAAAAGTACTAAATATAATATTTGTATGGCATTGGTATATACATATATACAAGTTTGTAAATTTTACTCACGGTACTAGCAAGTACTCAATATTGTGCAACCATGACAATAAACATTTATTCCAGAAATAAATTCTAAAATGTACTAAAAAGTACAAAACATTGTATAAGGCGGTACGGGTGGATATAGAATTTGGTACAAGTTTATTTCTACGAAAAACAATGCTTTTCGCATTTTTGTTGGACATTTGTTCTATACTAAATATTATATACGACAGAACGATTAGAGGTAGAGTCCTCAAATTTTTTTATGTTTATTTAGCTATAACAGCCTTACCTAAAATTCAACTAGCTCGTTCGACGTTTTTCACCACAAAAGTAGAACACATGTATTTATATGAATGTTACCGAAATACGTCGAAAATTTTCAACTTTGACATAACGTATTTTTAATTTTTTTCTTTTGTTGAAAATAAAAACAAAACATTGAGGAAATTTGAAATTTCGAATGGAAACTAAAATATGTGGATTAATTTAATAAATTTTCAATTTTGTGTTGCGGTTTGTAGTATTTGCTTGAAGATATGGATTCGACGTATTTGGGTAATACGGCTGTACACAACATTTTGCCATAGTGGGGAAGTTGAATATTTTTGTACGTCCCGTCGGATTTTAGGTAATGTTGTAACATTTCAAAAAAGTTTTTTTTCGAAAATTTGTATTAGAAAGTAAAAAATAGGAATGGTTAGAGACAGATATCCAAATTTCAGTACTAATCTTTGAATTTTGGTTTAAACTTCCGATATAGTGAAAAACGGACGAGACTTCATACACAAATAAGTGAAACTATGCAAACAAGCCGCAGAACACAACGAGTACTAAATTGTTGGCATTTTTAAATGCAAATGTTTCTAAAATTTCTGCCATAACAGTACTGATATTTATTTCCAATGATGTTTTCAGTCATACCTTCGATGTAATGAATAATAGGCGGGATCTTTATGTCGAGGATATATAGGAATACCGAAAAATGTTTCCAATGTGGATTTTGTAACACGTAAATAAATTTCTAAATTGCAATTTTAATGGAAATCTTCCCTATAATGGCAGGTCTCTGTATAATAAATAATGCGCAGTGCAAAATAGTATACTACAAATTCGTATTATAAGGGTACACAATTACTAAAACGTACTACATAATTTACCATTAGCATGAAATTACCTAAAGGAACAAAAAATTAAAAAAAAAAACGTACTATTTGCATTGGTCCATCGCACTATAGGTCAAAGTGGCATTTTTTGTGGCCAAAAGTCATAAAATTGAAAAAATAATTGTATTTCAACCAGAATAGCTTTCTTAACTTTCTGAAAGAATAGTGGAACATTTTTTTTAGAAATTAACCCTTTAAGTCATTAATGTATTAACCCCTTGCGGACAAAAATAATTTAATTCATATATTTGATAACATTTTATATATATATATATATATATATATTCTTATTATTGTGAATAAATAAAATTATGGAATATCATCACATGCAGGGTCGTATGCAGTGTTTCGAAAAGGGGGAGGGGGAGTTTATGTGATATGTTTGATGTTTGTGAACAAATTACAATTTTTCTGTTGGATAACAAAAGTTAATGTAAACAAAAACAATTCGGGCGGCGTCGAACACCAAGGACACCCCTCCACTTTGATACGTCTGTGACTACATATATTATTTAAATGAAGTTCGTTTCATTTTCTAAATCAAAGTCATTAAGAATATTTATATACTACGTTCTCAGCATGTGATCTGTCTTCATCTTTAATAGTTTGATCCTATTGATGAATGGAAATCTCTGAAACAGTCGAATTTAGTTTAGAGATTCGAGAATTTTGACATTTTAACACTTCAATCATTTCAAGCTTTCACATTTTTACTGTTACATGCGTTTGATTAAGCTAATTTATAATTAGAGGATATTAAAGGATCTAATGTATCCAAGGCTCTAGTAAATATATCTTCGCTGTTATTCTTTCGGTTGCTCTTACGAGCGTGATGTAACCTATAGCAGCATCTTCTCCAAGAACCCCTAATGGAAGTACATGAATTTGTACCTTATTGACAGTAGCAGTCATGGACAGCCAAGAATATTTCGTCAATATTAAATTAGCTGTTTCATAACAATAAGTTAGAAATATGTTTAAATCTAATGAAAACTGACATAATAATTAAATTAAAAAAAATTGAGGCGAAATATAAGATTTACCTCTACTCCAGTTATTTCAGATTCAAATTAATTCGCGTTTCAGTAAATGGTTTAACATACAAAAATGGAAATAATTAAAAAACCCGCACAAATCCGCAAAACCACATTAGGTTATTTAGATTAAGGACGGTTCAATAAACAAATATCAATTTTTATTTCAATTGCCAAACGTTGCCCACGGATTTAATGCTTTCATAACCTCAAAGTTTAAAAATTTCTGTGATCAATCTAAAGTTATGCTTATTTTAATACTATTTTTACACATACACATATTTATAGATACATTTTATGATAAAAAATATCGAATACTTTCTTATTAATTCTTTACTTATAGTTATACTTTTATTTTATTTCCACTTTAAATCTTAACAAGTAACATGTCAAATGAATACATTTTTTATGATATTTTAATAATACAAGTTTGACAGCTTGCCATATAATGGTATAAGTGATTATGCAAAAACAAAATTCATTTTTATTTGTTTTGAAGTGTTCCTTACTCGATTGTTACTCAAAAGAAGTGATAAGACAATGTGTGAAATTCGTCTTTTGGCCAGTAAAATGGTCTGTTTGACCTATAGTGCATCGGGAGGATCGAGAAAATAATAGTACACTTTCAGAAAATATAAATATAAGTAAGTTGTACTCCATTTAGTAGAATTGAAACATCAACGTATCTGTTCGAAAGAAATGCGGAACAAAATCTGAGATTTTCTTAAAAAAAAATAAGATATAGGACCTATCATTATTTGGAATAGGTAAAATTTATAGTAAATATTAAAATATAAAAATATTGTGTAGCTTATGGATCAATTATGGAAAGCAACCAAACTCCAGTTGCGAGTTCAACTGGCAACGCAATTGAAATAAAACTTATCATTATGAATAGGTTCGTTCGTTTACTCAATAATTTGTACGAATTTGTACAAATTATTACAAAATGTTGTTCGTTTACCCAAAAGTCCAGTAAAAGAGAGTGAATTTAGAGAGCAGATTTGACAGTTGTGTTACTGAGTATTTGCAAATTCTTACAAGGAAATTTTACTCAGTAAGAATTTTCTTGTACATTAGCTGATATTTAATCAGCTGTTTTGTTATGTTTTGTAAACAAACAAAAAATTGTTCTCAAGAAAATTGATTGTTTTTGAATTTTATTTTGATTTTGTATCATTAAATAGTTAAAACTTACCGGTCACAACCCTTTTAAATGTTTGTGGGGAACAAACAACATAAATCTTCCGCTTGTTATTCATTTTTCTGATAAAAATTCTGTTTTTTAGTTTGCGCCAATTTGTTTGTTGTTTTAATCAGCTGTGTCGAAACAATCTTTTTACTGGATGTTGTTCGTTTACTTTTTGCAGTTTTCTCTCTTGAAAAGGAAAAATTCGTATTTACACTCTGCAAATTCTTACTGAGTAAATATTACTGGGAAAGTAAACGAACGAACCTATTATGAATAGCAACTTTTCTCAGTTACTGTCGATAATACTGTTTTGACATTTCTACAACTAGAAATATTGTAAACAAACAAAAAAATGAATAAAATATATCAGAAAAGCTAATTATATGTGATGATAAGCTCAGTGGAACTATTTTTTGATGATGAAAATTATGTTCAAGGTGTGTCATTTATTAGAAGGCATTTAAGAGATAAAGCTATTAGAACTACCAACAGTTCTGTGAGTAGATGCTGACGTTTAGAGAAATGTTCAATCAACTGCTCATATTAGCTTGAAGGCGTATTTTCGACTACCAAAAGATGCCGTTGTGTACATAGATGAAGCCTTAAACCCTGATTTCTGAAAAGCTTGGCGGTCAACAGCAATTCCTCCTCTCTTAAAAATGTGTGCAGCTCTGATGTTTTTTGTGGAGGGAAGTCTTCAAAAGTCCCATAGCAATGACTTCAACCTTGGCATGGATCAACCGACAATGTCGGTGGTTTTCGCCAAAGTTATCCGGCTAATAGAGGAAAAACTGTGTAAAATTTTGATTGTATCCAAATTAACGGAGGAGGAAAAAGGGAAGAATATTTTTTTTTATTCGAAACCTAAGTTCCAGGGTGTTGTCGGATGTATTGATGATACACACGTACATATCATGGACCCAAAAGAAGATGTTCGCCACTTTCTGCCATTCATTTGGAATGCCATAGCAGTTAAGGTCTTCTGAAATGGCCTTCCACACATCATCGATAGTGGCTTTGGTTTGACCAAAAGTCCGCACGCCGCGTGCTACATTTGGGCGAGCTTCCATCCGGGCAATAAGAACCTCAAATTGTTCTTTTGTAGTAATATTAACCATTATTCGAAGCCTACAAAGTTCAGTTATTATAAACAGCAACCAAAAATAAATGGTTGTCGAAAAATTCTATTTGAAGCAACTGAAGTTGACAACAGTTGCCATCGATAATGCAAATTTGGCAACTGGCAACGCAACTAAACTCTGGTTGCCATCCGTAATCGACCCATTAATTAAAGTTTATTTATTTTAACTATACAAAAATTCCGCTAACGACTATGCTAGTATTATATATAACATACGCAACAAGTTGTTGTGTTGATTTGACAATTATTCAAGATATAAAAAGATGTACAAAATATGCATTTTACAAAGTACATTGGAACAAATTTTGACTTAGTGATGAATCCCAATTTGTTGTTAAATTTCTTGGCCTATCCTTTTATAATTATGTTGAATATCGTATCCTTTTGTGTTATTATAGAATTATGAGAAATGTTCATTTACCAGTGTGTAGTAGGTTTGTGATGTGTAGATCCTCTCGGAACCCTAAGTTGTTATATCCGAGGTTTTCGTCTGCAATTTGTGAAAGATCATTTGTTGTTGTAGCAGCCCTATTGCTTTTACACAATGGGCTGAGGTGACAATTTTTTGTCGTGGAAACGAAAGATCATTTGTAGTTAGAGTCGTAAGATCGTGGAATCAGCTCCCTTTGAGCCTTCGTAAGTTTACCTCTTCCACTTTTGCGTATAGGAGGGAATTGTTTGGGCATTTGTCTCGTATTTGATGAAGTTGGCTTTGAAGAAATCGCTGATTACAGGTTGCATAATGTTACTTTGTTTTTTTTTTAATTTTTGGCTGGGGAGCCATTTTTATTTAAGTTCGTTAGCATTTATGTTATAGATTTATACATATGGAATTTAATGTCTGTGGTTCTGATATTGCTCTTGGGCTCGAGAGGAATATATAGTATATTTATATGTATGATTCCTTAAGCTTCCTTTCCCCTCCACTTTTCTTAGCAACAGTTAAGAAGAGTGCAGTGGATTGGGGTTCTTGTTTGGATTATGTAATGTTAGGGGTTTGCATTAAATTTCATTATGTAGAATTTTTTTTTGCTGTTATGTATTTTAAATTTATTTAGTTTATTCTTTGTTTGGATTTTTATTTTTTATATATATATAAGTTAATATAAGTTATTGGCCATGCTGGCTTTTTTATATTACATTGTATGAAATAAATGAAATGAAATGAATCCATATCAACTCGATTTTGGAAACAAAACCAGACATTCCAATAATATTTTGCAACACTTTTATAAAATATGTCATATGAACAAAACGACTAGGTGCAATTGTTTTTTATTTATTCCGACGTAACAGGTCACAAAGTAGAGGCTTGTGAAATGATACCTTACCTTGCTTCTTAACTCATTTTTCATTTGTAGTGGGGCTCTCGTGCCTTTAATAACATGCTAATTGTACCACCCGGATCGGGTATTGTCCATCAGGCCAATTTGGAATATTTGACTTCCTTTATAGATATTTAAAGCGAAGCTGTTATGTTAGGCCAATCAATCTACATATGGTCTGTTCCCGTAATGCAAGAATCTACTATTTTCTTGCAATACGGGAACAGACCAATATTGTTGCCCGAAGTTATTGGCTATAAGGTGTGATTATAAGTTTTGTTCCGTACTTATATACTCTTTATTTTCTTATCACAGTTGGTAGGTAAACTGGATCCTATTGATACATCAACCGATTTGATTGATGTGTCAATTGGGTGTGGTCGGAAAATTTGTTGAAATTTACGGCCCTGGTGTAGCTAAATTGAAAATAAATTTTTTTGATGCTGTGTTATTTTTGAATAAAAATACCACCTATGCATTTTTCCCTTCGCGATATTTAATTATGTCATATTTATTCCGACATTACAGACTACTAATTAGAGATGTATTTTTCATTAAATGATACCTTACCTTGTTCTCTTTATAGCACGTTTACATTTAACCGGGTCTCGTTATCCAGTGGTTTTCAATTGTCAATTCCTTTGCATATATGTTAAATAAAACCTTATAAAGTAGGTTAACCCGGTAAAAAGTTCTAATGTATATGCCGTTTTAACTATATTTTCTTTTTCTATAAATTATTGGCCCGCCTCCCGACTAACAAGTATTAATAGCTCCACCGCCAATTTATTTCCCAATAAAAGTTTCCCCTCACTACGAACAAAAATTTATATAGACTACTTTGAAAACAAAAAGTACGGGAACAAGGCATATAGTCTCGTAAGTAGATTACTTTTCATACCAACTACTTAAGTATGTCAATTTTGACTTCTCGATTCTGCAGCCAGAAGTCGAAAGTTAACTTACGAATACCTATTCAGTCCGTTGCCAGCATAAGACACAGCGACGTCGCAGGTGAAAGTAGTCGGTTTAAAAGGCAAGAAATCTTTAAATCAGAGGCAATAGACGTATAAAAGAGATTTACCATGGCCGGTAAGTTAATGATTTGCAAATATTGAATTCAATTAACTCCAAAACCTTAGTAAAAATATAAAAACGATTACATAATTTTTTACTTATAATTTTATTTTTTCATTTTCTGCAGGCCCAAATCCATATGCGCAATTTCAAAAATCTTTTCAAAAAGAAGAAGTCGAATACAAGTACTTTGATTTGGCCTCAATAGATCCCAAATATGGTGAGTAGTTGTTGTTGATAGAATATGAATATGTGGATATATATTGGTAGAGCAAGATCAGTGCCGGCAGTCGGGAGGAAATGGATAAACTAAAACGTAGTTGGTATAGGCTGTGTGCGAACATTTCGTAGATTTCAATATCTTTTGGATAATTAATTTGCATGGAATTGCCAAAGCTGCACTTGTACTGTCATTGATGGGAATGCAATGCATTAGCCATGCTAACGACACTTGGACGAGAAGTAGAACAGTATTAATGTGGCGGTTTTGGGGACAACATAGACGAACTTTGCGTTATGCAAATGTGCTTTTATGGTATCTGAAGTTCATTGATTCTTGGTTTGTGCATAATTAAGCAAAGTTTGAGTTTTGTTCTTTTCCATTTTAAAAATGAGGCGTGTGCTGTCTGTGTGGTGGGACGAGGGTCGGTCCAATCATTTAGTAAAAAATAAATGATGTACACAAATAGTATATTTTTACATGTGGATTCTATCAGGATAGGAATATGTTTATATGTGGATGCTAATCACAGATTTAAAGTGTCTTTAAATTCAACTTGTTCTAAGTTTAGTTTTCAATATTAAATTAACAGCAGAATAGAAGCCCTACAATGATACTTTTTTCAGACATATCTATTTCTTTCTATAAATAAAGTGAAAGTATTTCAATATCAAGTTGTCTTGCTCAGAGACAGAAGGAACAAAGGTGATAATACAATGCCATGTAGAGAGTCAAATAGTTTCATTGCTATAGCAAAGCTTTCAATGTTGTATTTCCAATAGCTTTGCTTTATCAATGCTCGCGGCCGACGTCGACGCTATCTATGCCAGATATGCGTCGCATACACTTATGTGTCAAAATTAATTGCCGAAATAAGTCTGAACATTATGAGGCGATATGAGGTGATCTTACGCATGTTATCAACATGATCTTGTTTGAGTAATGGAAACATTTTGCATGCCCGAATATGAGGGAGTTTTCCATACCGAAAATATTCTGATTTGAATTTATTGCTTTCAAATCTGAAGGTTGTTATAGTTTTGCCAGAATTTAGAAGTAGAAATTGTTAATTTATTAATAATTAATAATAATAAAAATTAATTAATTAAACTAATTTTAAATACGATGTTGAGAAAAACTATTTCAATGTCGTTCTACGAATAGAATTACACATTGTAATGCGTTCTGTAAACATAGGTAAGAAATTAAGCAAATTATTGTCTAGTTGGACAGTAATTTTTCCAATGGGAAAAATCTTTCCTTAAGGTAAAAATCTAATGGATTCAAAATTTCTAACACTTTTTTTTATTATTTAGCATAACCGTGAACACCTCATAGATGGTTTATTGTAGTTTACTTCTAATAGAACAAACCAAATTATTCTCACTTCAAACTCAATTTAAAATGAAACGCTTGAAGCTAATTTAGAACATTCATGATTTTTTTTTTTGCAAACTTAAACCAGTATTTGCCACCTTTATCTTTCATTACAAATTGTTTTTCAATGAAAAATAATTTAGCATGAAGTATACAAAACAATTCTTCGCAAATTAGATATTTACTGAAATGTGTTGTCCATTTCAGTAAATATCTAATTTTCGAATGATTTGAATTTTACTTGGAATTCAGTTTATGCACCGTCTGCACCTATATTGTTTATATTATGGCAATGCTAAATTTTAGAAAGAAAAATATTAATAGATTATAGTAAGGGAAAATAAACTAGGTAACATCATAACTTATCTTCAGACAAATGGAGCTGATAACAAATGTATTTATCTTTGTTGGTCGTATCGTATGTTTTGTTTACTACTTTCTCAACTTCACTGTACCTATATTATTTTGTTTTTATTGTAGATCAATTGCCCTATTCCATTCGTGTGCTGTTGGAATCTGCTGTCCGTAATTGCGATAATTTCCATGTCCTGGAGAAGGATGTACAAAGTATTTTGGCATGGACACCTGATTTGAAACAGGGACAAAATGATGTGGAAGTTTCCTTCAAACCAGCTCGTGTTATCTTACAGGTAAGTGGATATGATGGACTATTTGGAATATTAACATACACAGATAGATGATGATGATTCAATTAATATTAGGATTTCACTGGTGTGCCTGCTGTCGTCGATTTCGCTGCTATGCGTGACGCTGTGCGCGATTTGAACGGTGATCCTGAAAAGATCAACCCAATTTGCCCCGCTGATTTGGTTATTGACCACTCAGTTCAGGTGGATTTTGCCCGTACATCTGACGCCCTCTCTAAAAATCAAAATTTGGAATTTGAACGTAACAAAGAACGTTTTACTTTCCTTAAGGTAAAAAGCAACATATTTTCAAAATCATTCGATATCTTAGTTTATTGTGTTTTCATTTGTAGTGGGGTGCTCGTGCTTTTAACAACATGTTAATTGTACCACCCGGTTCAGGTATTGTCCATCAAGTCAATTTGGAATATTTGGCCCGTGTAGTGTTCGAAGCTGATACTGAAGGCGGCAAAATGTTGTATCCTGACAGTGTTGTTGGTACCGATTCACACACCACAATGATCAACGGTTTGGGTGTACTTGGATGGGGTGTTGGAGGTACGTTTAATTGAAGCAGCATCTTTATAAAATTACTAACATGACTTCTTCCTATATAGGTATTGAAGCCGAAGCTGTTATGTTAGGCCAATCAATCTCTATGTTGTTGCCCGAAGTTATTGGCTATAAGGTGGGGTTCTTGGTTTTACATAATTTTGTTCTGTATTTATGTACTCTTAATTTTCTTATCACAGTTGGTCGGTAAATTGGGTCCTCTTGTTACATCCACCGATTTGGTCTTGACTATTACCAAACATTTGCGCCAATTGGGTGTGGTCGGAAAATTCGTTGAATTTTACGGCCCTGGTGTAGCTGAATTAAGCATTGGTAAGAACTTTTATTGACACAGTGTACTTTTGTTTGCACAAAATACAACCTATGCATTTTCTTTCCATTTATTTTAGCTGATCGTGCTACCATCAGTAACATGTGTCCTGAATACGGTGCTACCGTTGGTTATTTCCCCATCGATGAAAATACCTTGAACTATATGAAACAAACTAGTAAGTACAGTGGATGAATATCTCAATAAATTGTGGTGTCATTGTTTTTTAATTTGTTACCTTCTTGCAGATCGTTCTGAAAAGAAAATTGAAATTATCAGACAATATTTGCAAGCTACACGTCAACTGCGTAACTACTCCGATGAATCACAGGATCCTAGATTTACCCACACTGTTACCTTGGATTTGTCGACAGTTGTTACATCAGTCTCTGGACCTAAGCGTCCTCATGATCGTGTATCCGTATCCGAAATGAAGAAGGACTTCAACGATTGCTTGGTTAATCCCGTAAGTTTGCACTATTATACACAACAATTGTTCAGTGGAAAGCGTTGTTTTCATTTCGTTATTATGAGATAAACAAAGCCCAGTGATGCTATTAATCTGATTAGGAGCTCTTAACTATTTCTTAGTGTAGAAATTGACAAAACTGAACTTGGTGTATCCCATAAATTGAAACTCTTAAATTTTAAATCACCTTTTGCTTCACTCTTGCTTTTCTTGCGTACCCATTTGTGGCTTACAAAAGAGCTATCTAAAAGAAACAGCAACTGTGATATGTGAGATGTTCGTTGTGGATCAATAAAATCACGGCTACTATTTCCTTAGATAACTCGGTATAATTTATTTGATTGGGACAAGCAAACTCAACTGCACATCACAATACACTTTTTATTACAACTTTACTTAAATTCACAACGAAATACTTCGATGTTTGTAGCTTTATGACTTCAATGTTGGTTGGCCCTGTTTTCCCGGTCATCATAAGCCACCACATCAAAGTAATTTATTATGAAGAAATTCTTTGAAATTTTCCCCTGATTAAACGATACTGTTTCCGCTACACAATATGCAAGTGTATCTAGTAACAATTGATTTTAAACTAACCGTTCGCGCTGAGCGAATTGAAAGCCTTCTTATAAACTCTGCGTTCAATGCCACCATCATCATATTTTTAAAATTTATTTTGTCATATTCATTTATGTATGCCTCATGTTACCAGTTGGCAAATTTGTTGGTATTATTTTGGTAACGATTAATGCAACTGCATAGGTAAGCATTAAATATCATTTATTGTCAATAAAAAGAATTAAAAAAACTTGCCAACCTATGTAAATTATATATAAATGTTTCGATATTGGGTTGAGCAATGTTCTCTTTTTATTTTTACATTTTTAAGTCAAACAAAGTAAAATGTGATGAATATTGAATCTTTGGTATTGACATATTTAAAATGTCCATAAAGATATTTTTCATGATTCATTACAGTGTTATCAAAACTTATTTTAATTGTTATCTAACATCCAGACACTCGACTGTCATTAGTTTAAATATTCGCCTATTAAAAATTCTAATTACTCTAATGATTCAGTAAAAATTCTCTAGTATAGCAACTAAAATGTATTTATGTATGTGTTTCGTAAAATATATTACTATTTTAAAGTATATTTTCTTAGAATCTCCCTTCTCGAAGACCTTCGATAGTTCTATGAATTTCTACTGATGCTAACTTGTGCGTTTAACCACTGCTAGCATCGTTGTCGGGCTTTAGAAACGGGCCATTCTGACTATTTTCCATTCTTGATAATTATTCGCCATCGGGACAGAATTTTAATCCATCCCTAATTATTGTGGGATGAAGTTTTGGAAGAGATGAACGAATAGATGTGCAAGATAACAATATTCGATTGTCTTATTACTGAAGTAAACTTCCGCATTCGTTGAAACAAGAAAAAAATGTCTAAAAAAAAAAATCAACGCAACTTCCGCAGTAATTGAGAAATTAATAAAAATGTATTCTAAACATACACAAATACACTGACCTAATACATTCGATGTCTCTGGCATATCAACTGCAAAAAAGTTGATTGAACTTTTGTCATTGCAATACTGTGTGCAAAAAAAAAAAAAAAAAACTTATCTTGCTTTTTTATTTTCAGGTCGGTTTCAAAGGTTTTGCAATTCCCGCCGACAATTTGGCCAACTCTGGAGAATTCCAATGGGATGATGGCAAAAAATATACCATTAAACATGGCTCTGTCGTCATTGCTGCCATTACCAGTTGCACCAATACCTCCAACCCCTCAGTTATGTTGGGTGCTGGTATGTTGGCTAAGAAAGCCGTTGAGAAAGGCCTCAGCATTATGCCTTACATCAAAACATCTTTGTCACCTGGTTCCGGCGTTGTCACGTACTATTTGAAAGAGTCTGGAGTTATTCCCTATTTGGAGAAACTCGGCTTCAATATTGTCGGTTATGGCTGCATGACCTGTATTGGCAACTCTGGTCCTTTGGATGAGAATGTCGTCAACACAATCGAAAAGAACAACTTGGTCTGCTGTGGCGTTTTGTCTGGCAACAGAAACTTTGAAGGACGTATTCACCCCAACACCAGAGCCAACTATTTGGCCAGTCCTTTGTTGGTAATTGCTTACGCTATTGCTGGACGTGTTGACATAGATTTCGAGACTGAACCTTTGGGCACTGACGCCAACGGACAAAATGTTTTCCTTAGAGATATTTGGCCAACACGCTCCGAGATCCAAGAAGTAGAAAACAAACATGTCATTCCAGCCATGTTCCAGGAAGTGTACAGTAAGTAGACGTCACTAAGTTTATATTGCTAAAATTTGTAACGCACCGTCTGTTGCAACGGATAACCTAATTGCACCGCTTTAATTTCGTAGGCAAAATTGAATTGGGTTCAGAAGATTGGCAAACTTTGCAAGTCTCCGATGCTAAATTATATCCCTGGAATGGTGAATCCACCTACATTAAGCGTCCACCCTTCTTTGAGGGCATGACTCGTGAATTGCCCAAGTTTAATAGCATTAAGGATGCCCGCTGTTTGTTGTTCTTGGGTGACAGTGTTACCACCGATCACATTTCTCCCGCCGGTTCTATCGCTCGCAACTCCCCAGCCGCTCGCTATCTTTCGGAGCGTAAATTGACACCCAAAGATTTCAACTCGTATGGCTCCAGACGTGGTAATGATGCTATTATGGCACGCGGCACTTTCGCCAATATTCGCTTGGTCAACAAATTGGTTTCCAAGACTGGTCCCCGCACTGTCCACATTCCCAGCAACGAAGAGATGGATATTTTCGATTGTGCTGAACGGTAAGTCAATTGGAGTTCTTAGGTTCAAATGCAAAATTACATGGATGTGTTGTTTATAGTTACCGTGAGGAAGGTACACCATTGGTTTTGGTTGTTGGCAAGGATTATGGCAGTGGCTCTAGTCGCGATTGGGCTGCTAAGGGACCCTTCCTATTGGGAATTAAAGCTGTGATTGCTGAAAGTTATGAACGTATCCATCGTTCCAATTTGGTTGGCATGGGCATTATTCCTCTACAATTCTTACCGGGTCAAAATGCTGAAACTCTCAATCTGACTGGTCGCGAGAAGTACAACATTAGCATTCCAACAGAAAATATTAAACCTGGTCAAAAGATTCAAGTTGAGGTAAGCTCATTGTTGGTTTTAAGAATTTTTGAACTCCTTCTCAATAAAAATTTTTCTTGTTTCTAGGCTGATGGTATTACTTTCGAAACTGTTCTTCGTTTTGACACTGAAGTCGATATTGAATACTACAAGAACGGTGGCATCTTGAACTACATGATCCGAAAAATGTTGAATTAAATCGTTTTTACGGAATTCAAAAGCAATCTGTACAATGCGTACAGACTTTACCTATAGGGAAACACAATACAATAACTTTTATATGCATTTTTGTCAATACAATTTAAATAAAATTAAGCTAGAGGTGTGATGAATATGGTTTAACCAATTTATACAAAAAAAAGATTGTTTTTCTTTAATTATGATGTGATTTTGGATAAGTCATAATTCATGGAAGAAAGGATTTACAACGTTTCAAAATTGGGAAAAATTAAAAATACAGTTTTTAATTCCGTAACAAATGCTTGAAATTTCCACAAAAAAAAAAAAATAAAATAAAATTAGTAAAAATAATATTGTGCTAATATAAGGCATGTTTGATAACCCAATAATTTGTAACAATTTGTATAAATTGTTACTGGAAGTTCGATAAATTAAAAGTTCAGGAAATGAAAGTAAGTTAAGATACATTTTGGCAGTTTTTTTTTTGTACTGCTTACTGGTAAAATTTACCTTGTAAGGATATGCATGTTTATATATATATATATACATATACAGCAAAATTTCGCTAATCCGGTTTTAAATTGGTTTAATTTTTTATTAAGTTAGTAATCTGTACTGCTTATTGGTAAAATTTACCTTGTAAGGATATGCATGTATATATATATATACCTTTTAATTACAATTAAAAATTGTTTTCCAACATTTCCAAATTTTAATTGCGACAATCCTAAGCTTGAGTAGCATACCTTTTATTTTTACACAATGACCTCATGTGGCAGTCATTGTTCAAGTGAAACTCAAGTCGTTTCAGATCGAAGAACACATTGTCGCAGAAACGTTCATTTCTGGTTAGAACTACATAATTGTGGCCAACTATGTAAATGAGGACTAATGCCAGCATCTTCAACTCTAGTACGAAATTAACAAACATATAATATAGCATACTTTTAGGTGATAATTCAACCAACGCTGTCCAGTATCAAACCCTTTTTGAAAATAATAATAACAAAGCAATGTGAAATAGAATTTGATTATCAATCTTACCTCGTAGCTGCCGATATATTTGTTTGTTGTGTGTGACGATACCTGATGCTAATTGATATAGCAACAACATACGTGTACGCCTATCAGTCACAGACAACCCCCTTATCTTACCATGTGTGACATTGCAAAAAATAATAATAATATGAAATATAAAACATTGCATAATTATTAAAGAAATAAAGATATAGTATTTTTTGTTTGTACTTTATTACAATTTTCGGATGTTTGTTATTTAGTTTTTTTTTTTTATAAATTATTGTACATATGTAGCATTTGTTTTGCTAATTTTCCATTCAAATTCCAATAATTTTTGTTTAGTAATACATCTACATAAATTGTTATCGCAGCTATAATATTTGTTTTATTATAGTACATTGACTTATCAATTAACAACATTTACAAACTTTTTTAAGATTTTACTGAATTAAATTAGCTCAAATAAAGAGGTCCAGGTAGGTAGTTTTCTTTGTATCTAGCAACAAAAAATTAAAACGAAATAATTTTAACGAGCAAACACATACAATAGATGCTATATAAATTGGTATTTAGATTTGGGTTTTAAACTTAACAGTAACAATTAAACACTAGCCCAAACAATAATATGGAACTTGTGTGGCCTTCTTTGTTGTTGTATATCATTGCTAATATAATTGGCTAAAAGAAAATTTATATGGCATTAAGATTATTTACTTAAAAAAGGGCCACCATACATATGCATGTATGTATGGTTATGTACAAAAGAAATCAAGTTTGTTTGAAATGATTATGTTTACATCTTCGGTCTTATATTACTAGAAAATTGTCTAAAACAATATATTGATGAATACAAGGGGCTCCAGGTGATTTGTTTTTATAGGCCAACAAACCTCTTTGGTGAATTATTCTATATGTGAATGATAGTTTAAAAAAACCTGTTCATGGTATTTTTGTAGCGTTTCGATTTTGCTATGTATTGCATTTTGTTCAAAACTCGGTTATATATCTTTAAATGCATGTAACCATTCAGTTTCTGTTTGTTGTCCGCTGTAGTAAAATTATTGGGCTTTTTGTCATCTGCATATTTGTGCATTCCAGTTCTAGTTGGTGGGTCTGGATTCGAGTTCGATAGGAGGGTCGTTCGTTAGACTTACCGGTTATTACCAGCGTATATTCTGTTTATATCGCTCGTCAACTGCTATTCTTTTAATTGTTTCATAACCTAAAATTATACTAAATGAGAAGGCGGCCGATTGAACTAAACGCGCTGACAATCCCTTAAAGAAACAGTTTAATCCCTCCTCACGCCAAAGATCTCGGAACGCAACTTTCATACTTTCGAGACGTTGAACCTGAAATGAAAAACGGAAATATTTAAAATTGATCGATATAGAAAACAATAAAAATTAAATGATTTTTTTGTTCATTCAGTTCCAAATTACCTGCAATCTCGCTCTGACTATATCTAATGGATTTGTAAGTATCGTTGTTGTAAATCCACCCATGCTGCCAGCAACACACTGTATTAGAAGATGTGAAACCCATGGTGGACATATCCGACACAGTTCATCTAAAGTTGAAAGTGCGAATGAAAATAATATTATTAAACCCAAGTTTGTTAGATTTTCGACTATAATACATACCCTGATACCAGTGATAAAACGCCCACCACATCGCTGAATTCGGAACATATGCCATCAAACTGGCAGTATAGCCTCGATAAAATCCCCGGACTCCATCACGACGCATAATTTCTTTGGCAATATCTATGGAAATTGTTATACGGCTTCGACCGGGACTTGTATCAATGCCGAGGGGATTTAAGTCGGCCTTGGGTCCATGCCTTGCCATTCCCAAGACCATAGCGTGCTGAGAAATTACATCGAAAGGAACTATAATGGTTTGCCCCACCAAAGATGCACATCCACCTCCGACCAGCGCCTTAACATTATGCCCTGCTCCCAAGTCTTTTAAAATATGACGCACTCCTTCGTATGTGCTGATATAGAATACACCGGATACTATTTGAACGGAAGAAATCCAAAAGCCGCGATATAGACCGGGCACACCTTCCGAACGATAAATTTTGTGTGCACAATCGAACATGCCCTTATATACATCACTTTTGTGTTGAACCTGAAGCTGGGTTTTAATGACCGTCAGGGGGAATAGACAACACCGCACCGAAAACGAACTCAGCATAGAAAGTGGAAAGAATTTAGCTTTATCCATCATATCCCACTCAATGGTTTTGATGAAGGTCGACGTAGAGGAGGTTTCCATATTGCTGCTGGCCGAGCTGCCGCCGGAAGGCACTGATATTGCGCTACGACTCATTGTTGCGTCCGTAATGTGCAGGGCTCCCGAATCGTTACTCTGATCGATCCCACACACCACAGTATGCCTTCACTTACACTGCAGCTTCGTATAGTTTAGGTCACGAGTTCATATGGACAGCTGGATGTGTATGATGACAAAAGTAAGGGTAGAACAACAACAACAAACGGCGAAATTTCTTTTCACTCGCTGAACAAAGCCTCTAGAAATAGAACGAAACAAAACAAAATATTATACACGAGTTGTATGTGCTGCAGAGTGTTTGTTTTTATGTTTTGGACTGAACAGTAGCAAAACAACGCACTCCAAGGTGAACCGCCTATAGCCACCTTGGCCGTGACAATCGAACTGAGGAAACACAACAAAATAACGAACTTTGCCCCCAACACTCCCCCCAAATTAATCACGCCGATTGTATCCCTTCGCATCAGGAGCGCGCACACACGTACACATTTCACAATTAACTCCACTAGCGAATCCTCCGTGCAATTATATAATTTGAAATCAACATCATCCTCTGATATCTGTTGTCGTCGAATGATTTTCTTTTTTGCATCAGTGCTTTACGACGAAACACTCGAGCACCCTCGCCCCACTCCCCGCCATCTATGTTCTCCTATATTTTTGTTGTTGGTAGGGTTGGTGCGTAAAGTTTTCGTTGTTGTTGTATTTACTATGACGACATATTTTGCAAAATACGTAATTCACGTAATTATCTCAATAATTTATCATAATTCGATTCGCGAACAGAGTCACTCGCATCATTCAATCGCCACTTACATTACTGTCAAATAGTTCCGACTAAACGTTAACGATTTTATTCAAGAAAGCCATCAATCCAATCCTCATCTGACGAAAGAAAAAAACTTATTATTATTTTCCGTTTAATGTTTTCGTCGTTGCCAGACTGTAGTTCTTTATAGTTTCTTTTGCAGATAACCAATTATGAATACTCATTTATTGGTAATCTATTTGATAATCGTACTGACAAATTAATCTTTGCCAATATCGGCGAAAATCTGTCCGAAGGTATCATTTTACCGCAACGTAATAATAATAGGAAAACAATCATAAAAACGTCTTTAAAAAAATTGACATGAATTGAATTTCATATTTTTTTTTATTTATTTTGCAATTGAATGGATATTTTAAATATTTTGTCATGGCATAATGGCAACCCTTTTTAATTTGTAACTCATACATCAATTTCTGTCAAAATGAAAAATAAATTCCATAAAATGTTATGTATGTCGATTGGCATATTTTTTTAAAATATTAAAAAAAAAACAATGTTATGTATTTCAAATCAAATGTTAAGAATTACAAATGGAATTATTTAAATTTCAAATGCAATTTTATTAATTTCAGGTGGAATTTTATGAATTTCAAATGCAATACTTGGAATTTCAAATGGAAGTTTATGAATTTCAAATGGAATTCTATGAATTTCGAAAGATATTCTATGCATTACAAATGACATTCTCGAATGACAACTGGAACTTGGAATTTCAAATGGAAGTTTATGAATTTCAAATGGAATTCTATGAATTTCGAAAGATATTCTATGAATTACAAATGACAACTGATATGTTTTGAATTGCAAACGGAAATCTCGAATTGCAAATTATATGTTGGAATACTCGAATTACATTTTATATGTTTTGAATAACATGTGAATAAGGTGTATTCGTATTTGGAATTATCTTCCACCATCTGTTTCAAAAATTAATTACAAAAATATTTTACATGAAATGATTAATAAGCTTATTTTGTTATTAACTTTATTATATCTTTATCCATAATATAATCTTGAAATATTCAATGTACCTCTAGCACTACTTCATAAGAATTTTGTTATTCTCAATGTGCTTGATTTATCTATGTATATAAAAGAGCTTAGTGTTAAGTGAGTGACTGACTGACAGATTATCGCCCAGACGAAACGGCTAAAGCTTGAAATTTTGAGTGTGGGTTGGTGTTGGTGTGTAGGCGTGAGATAAGGCTGGGTTTTTGGAAATTCAAACTAGAAGGGTACGAAAAGTACTAAAATGTACCAAATATGGTACCCTTTGTATTAGGCGAACGGGAAGAGCTAGAATTCTGAAATTTGGAATGTGGGTCACTGATGTAAAGTTAGGAAGATGTACAAAAGGATTTTTGGAAATTCGACCTATAAGTGTACTAAAAGTACTAAATTTAGTTCTAATTTTATATATTGAACATATATAGCTAAAATCTTGAAATTTTATATGGAATAGAGGTTGGGAAGTGGTGTTGATGTTTGGAAATGGTTTAAGATTTTCGTACTTATGTTCCTTAAAAAGTACTAAATGGTACTAAATTTGGTACTATTTGCATTTAGTTGAGTGTATATAGATGGAATCCTGAAAATATCAATTAGGACTACTATTGGAGTACACGAATGAGATAGCTTTAAAAAATTGTACTTATGTGTACGAAAAGTACCAAATGGTACTAAATTTGGTGCAAGTTGGATTTACGTGAACATAGAGTCTTCAAATTGACTGTTGGAGTGTAGGATTGAGGTGTTTAAGAAATGGGTAATTATTGGTACAAAAAGTACTAAATGGTACTAAATTTAGTACTATTTGCATTTTGCTTGAACGAAAAGATGTGAAAACATGAAATTTGGAATTAATATTTATGTTAATGATTGAGCTATACCGAGAGACATATTTGGAAATTCTTATTTATGTGTACGAAAAGTACTAAACGGTACTAGATTTGGTACAATTTGGATTTGGGTGAACGGGGAGAGCTGGAAACCTTAAATTTGAAACAATGGTTGCTGTTAAAATATATAGTTGAGATATGGAAGCATAGTACTTATGTGTACTTAATGGTACTATATTTGGTACAACTTGATTATCTATATATATAAAAAAGCTTAGTGTTAAGTGAGTGAGTGAGTGACTGACTGACAGATCATCGCCCAGACGAAACGGCTAAAGCTAGAAGCTTGAAATTATGAGTGTGGGTTGGTGTTGGTGTGTAGGCGTGAGATAAGGCTGGGTTTTTGGAAATTCGAACTAGAAGGGTACGAAAAGTACTAAAATGTACCAAATATGGTACCCTTTGTATTAGGCGAACGGGAAGAGCTAGAATTCTGAAATTTGGAATGTGGGTCACTGATGTAAAGTTAGGAAGATGTACAAAAGTATTTTTGGAAATTCGACCTATAAGTGTACTAAAAAGTACTAAATGTGATGCCATTTGTATTTGGCGAACCGGTAGAGCTAGAACTCTGAAATTTGGATTGGTGGTCGCTGAGTGTAGGATAGATGTACCAACGGGTTTTTGGAAATTCGAAATAGAAGGGTACGAAAAGTACTAAAATGTACTTAATTTTGTACAATTTCGTAGCATGTGAATTGATAGAGCTAAAAACTTGAAATTTGGAATGCGACTTAGGGATGAGATGTAGAGTCTATTTAAGGCGATGGTTTTGAAAGCGTGTACTCATGTGTACGAAAAGTACTATATGATACTATATTTGGTACAAATTTAATTTGGAGATACAAATCGAGCTGGAATCCTGAAATTAACATTAGGAGTTGGACATCTGAGTGTAGGATTGGGAATGTACGTAGTTTTGGAATTTTTTTACCCAGTTTCAGTAATTTATATTCATGGGTACTAAATGGTACTAAATTTGGTACAATTTGAATTTTATACGAACCAATAGAGCTAGAATCATGAAATTTGGAGTCAGGATAACTGTTGGGGTGTAAGATCGAGATATGTAGGAAGTTTTAAAAATTTTTACTAATGTGTACTAAATTTGGTACAATTTGAATTGTGAACCGATAGAGTTGGAATCATAAATCTTGGATTTAGGATCAGTCTGGGGGTGAAAGTTTGGGTTAAGTGGGACGTTTTCGAAATTCGAACTACTGTGTACTAAATATCGTACAATTTCAACTGTAGGTGAACCGATAGAGTTGGAATCCAGAAACTTGGATTAGGATCACTGTGAGGGTGTAGGATTGGGGTCTGTAGGAAGTTTTGGAAATTCGTACTACAGTGTGCTAAATTTGGTACAAATTGAATTGTGGATGAATCGATAGAGTTGGAATCTTGAAACTTTGATTTAGGATCACTGTGGGGGTGTAGAATTGGGGTATGTAGGAAGTTTTGGAAATTGGTACTACAATGTACTAAATTTGGTACAATTTGAATTGAGGGTGAACCAATAGAGTTGGAATCCTAAAACTTGGATTTAGGATCATTGTGGGGGTGTAGGATTGGGGTATGTAGGATGTTTTGGAAATTGGTACTACTGTGTACTAAATGTGGTACATTTTTAATTGTGGGCGAACACATAGAGTTGGAATCCTGAAACTTGGTGTTAGGATCACTGTGGTGGTGTAGGATTGGGGTAAGTAGGAGGTTTTGGAAATTCGTACTACTGTGTACTAAATTTGGTACAATTTGAATTGTGAGTGAACCGATAGAATTGTAATCCTGAAACTTGTATTTAGGGTCACTGTGGTGTTGTAGGGTTAGAGTAAGTTGGAGGTTTTGGAAATTCATACTACTGTGTGCTAAATTTGGTACAATTTGGATTGTGAGTGAACCGATAGCGTTGGAATTCTGAAACTTGGAATTAGGATCTCTGTGAAGTGTAGGTTTGGGTTAAGTAGGAAGTTTTGGAAATTCATACTACAGTGTACAGCCATTATGGGGGTGTAGGATCGGGGTATGCAGGAAGTTTTGTTGGAAGTAGAAGGGTACGAAAAGTACTAAAATGTACCAAATATGGTACCCTTTTTATTAGCGAACGGGAAGAGCTAGAATTCTGAAATTTGGAATGTTGGTCACTGATGGAAAGTTAGAATGATGTGCAAAGGGTTTTTGGAAATTCGACCTATAAGTGTACTAAAGGTACTAAACTTTACTGAATTTACTTCCTGTTGTATATATATTGAACATATATAGCATGAATCTTGACATATGAAATGGAATACTGGTTGGTCACTGATGGAAAGTTAGAATGATGTGCAAAGGGTTTTTGGAAATTCGACCTATAAGTGTACTAAAGGTACTAAACTTTACTGAATTTACTTCCTGTTGTATATATATTGAACATATATAGCATGAATCTTGACATATGAAATGGAATACTGGTTGGGAAGTAGTGTTGATGTACGGAAATAAGTACATTCGTACTTATGTGTATACAAAGTGTAAAATGGTACTAAATTTCGTACTATTTACATTCAGTTGAGTGTGTAGAGATGGAATCTTGATAATCGGAATTAGCTTTAAAAAATCGTACTTATTTGTACGAAAAGTACTAAATGGTACTAAATTTGGTGGAAGTTGGATTTAGGTGAACAGACAGAGCTGAAGTCTTCAAATTGGGAATTAAAATGACTGTTGGAATGTAGGACTGAGGTAGATTATGAAATTCGTACTTATTGGTACGAAAGGTACTATATGGTACTAAATTTAGTACAATTTGGATTTTGCTTGAAAGGATAGAACTGAAAACCTGAAATGTGGAAATAAGATTTCTGTTGAAGATTGAGCTATAGAGACATCTTTGGAAACTCGTATTTATGTGTACGAAAAGTACTAAACGGCATTAGATGGATTTGGGTGAACGGAGAGAGCTGGAAACCCATAATTTGGACTAATGGTTGATGTTTGAATATAGAATTGAGATATGGAAGCATAGTACCTATGTGTACTAAATAGTACTATATTTCGTACAACTTGATTATGTGTGAACGGATAGAGCTGGACTCCCGAATTTTTTAATTAAAATTACTGTTGGAGTGTAAGATTGACATAGTTTAGGAAATTGTTAATTATAGAAACAAAAAGTACTAAATGGGTCCGGAAATCTTACAAATGTGTGAACGGATAGGGCTGTATTCTAAAATTTTGAATTAATATTACAGTTTGAGTGCAGAATTGAGATATGTCGGTAATTTTTTAAAATTCGTCATTATGTGTACTAAATGGTAAAAAAATTGGTACAATTTTGATTCGAGTTAACGGATAGAGATAGTAAACGTAAATTTGTAATTAAAATTGCAAGATTAAGGAAGTATTGGAATTTCGTACTTATGGATACGAGAAGACCTAATTGGTACTAAATATGGTACAATTCGTTTTGTGTGAGAGGGAATCCTAATATTTGGACTTAAAAATAATTTGGAACAATTTGGACTTTGGTGGAAGTAAGATTAGGATTGATGGATTGATGTAGTTTTAGAAATTTTTACCTATGAGTATGAGAATTACTAAATGGTACTAAATTAGAAACAATTTGGATTTGGTTTAATCTTGAGATTTGGAACTTAGATTACTGTTGAAATGTAGTATTGAGCTATGGAGACAACTTTGGAAACTCGAATTTATGTGTACCAATAGTATAGAATAGAAAATTCACTAAACTTGGATAACGGAGAGAGCTGGAAACCTAAAATTTAGAATGTTGGTCATTGACAGAGAGTTAGAAAGAAGGACCAAAGGGTTTTTGGTACTAAATTTAGTGGAGGTGACGGTGTTCGAACAGTTCTAAATGGAATTACATGTGGAACCTGTACGTTTTTGCTAAAGTGTGGATTTCGGAAAATAGTGCTTATGTGTATGAAGAGTAATTAATGGTAATAAACTTGATATTAAATGTAGGAATAGAGGTGGAATTCAGAACTATAGTACAACTAATTATACGGTATTCACCATTTCCATATGAAATATTTTTCTTTCCGCATACGAAGTAGCGGGTACTTTGCTTGTAAATAAATAAATGAATCATGATTATGCAGAGAAAATCTGATATTTTATTTGCGTTTTTTGTCCATTAAAGATACAAAATTAAAGCAAACATTTGGTAATTTGTAAACAAATATTTTTGTTTGATGGTATCAACGCACAAGACGTCCAGTAGACTCGGACCAATTGCGGTACTTGAGAACTAGTCAATTTATATACCTTGGTACCGCTATAAATAAAACTAATGTCATCAGTTTTGAAATTCGGAGAAGGATTGTGATCGCCCACAGATGCTACTATGGTCTAAGTATGCAGTTTAGAAACAAGGCCACCTCTGATATTACCCGTGCTGTTATATGGATCTGAAGCATGGGTTCTTGCGCAAGCAGATGAGGCAGCTCTTGGAGGGTTTGGGAGAAAAATTCTCCGAAAGGTCTGTGGGCGTTGACGGTGAATATTGCCGTCAAATGAATCATGAATTAATTGTACCATCTATTCTCGGACATCGGCATTATCAGACGTGTCGAGCTGCAGCGACTTCGTTGGTCATGTTGTGAGAATGGATGAGGATGTCCCAGCACAAAACGCATATAAAAGCGGGCCAAATGATGGCTCAGAATTTTCACTATCGTACAGAATCCAAACAAGTTTGCCAGAGTTGCCAAGTTTCCAGAAAATTACAGTTTTCTTCAACTTTTTAAAGCAAATCGGTACACATGGAAATTAATCAGATATTTTTCAGCTTAGAATATCGCTGTATATGCATTCACGATTGTTTATAGAAGATGCCGTGGTAATAATGCTGTTTGTGAAGCACAAAACTTCAAATAAGTCGGACGTACAAAAAAAAAAATGTTTTTTGTTCCATTTCTGAATAAAAATTATTTTATCATGAAAAAACCATATATAAAATTCAAAGCTCTGTTTACGAAATTTAAGTAAATACCTTTACTACACTCAAGTATTAATTTACAAAACCTCTTATATACCACAAACCTACAATTCAATGGTAATATTTTTTCTAAATTTCAAGATTCCAGCCCCTTCGGTTCACCCATATTCGAATTACACTAAGTTTAGTACCATTTAGTATACATAAGATCCACATGTCAGGATTCCAGCTCTGTCGGTTTGCCCAAATATAAATTGTACCATAGTTAGTACTTTTCGTACGCCGGAGTACATATTCCAGTCCCACACTAAAATTGTACCAAAATGAAGTACCTTATAGCGAATAGTATAACTTACTACATTTAGTACGAAGTTACTAAATATTTGTATATTGTCAATTGTTATGTATAATAATTGTCAATAAATTAAAAAATTATCTTGTAAATTAAGTGACCAGAAATTTAAAAAATTAAGAATTCATGTTTGATTACATTAATTGTCTATAATACAGCAAAGTGTGGTTATATCGATCTTGTATGGAACAGGCAAATTAGTTCGTTATATCCAAGGTATGGAATATCCTAGGATAGGATAATATCTTATTCATATATGAATGTGATACGTCAATCAATTTATATTTGTTTAGAATAGTTTAACAATACGAAGATTTAAGTACCATTTTGTTTCATTTATTTACAAATTTAATAAAAAATATAAAATCTAAAATCGATTCAGTTCATCTGTTCAATGTTGTTCTTAAATTTCAACTATTTTTTTTTTTTTCAATGACAGTAATCAAAGTCGGCATGCTATGGTATCAGACAAAATAAAAATCATCATTTAACTAACCTATTTTTTAACGGAAACGGATTTCCGTAGACTTTGCACCGAACAAAATATAATTGACCTTGAATAAGAGGCAATACAGGAGACTATAAATATTTCCGTTCAGCCAATGCAACACCAATCAAAATTTGCATTTATTGAGAGGCACACATATAGCACACCGATGTGATTCACGTGTGTGTAAGTGTGACAATATTTAGTTCTATTCCATCAACTGTGTAAATTAAATTAGATTTTGGGTAAATAATTTCTATAGGATATGGGGAAACATGACAAGATGCGAGTGTGTCGCATCATAACAGCAAACCCAAACATATACACACACACAAACAACACCATGTACATGTATAAATTCACATTAGTATGTGTAGTATTTTGTACATAATCTGACAGACCGACCGACAGACTGATGATGATATAACATCCTTCAATTTATCTTTTTGTATTGGCATGCTGTCCGTCTCACATCCTATATAATATGGTCGTGGCAAGACAACCAATGGCGTTGAAAAGTGCAGATACGGGGCATGCGCCTGAAAGTGTTATACGAAAACGGAAACGCCCCCTGAGGTATGCAATAAATCTTGTTCATCTTGATTTTTGGAATCAGTTGCGGCGCGTATTTTGTACTCTACGGTTTTCAACAAATTGAGTGTGAATTGAAAAATGTTTTAAAAATATATATAGATTGAAGTTAAAAAATATTTTGAAATATTATTAAGATACTAAGGGCAATAATCAATAAAATGGTACGGCTTAAAGTGTTTATTTGTCCTGTTTTTTTTAATAAATAATTATTTCTTATATTTGGTTTGCAATAATTTACTTAAATTCGAGTAAAATTACGTAAAAATATATATATTGAAACATTAAAAATCCTTTTAATGTTAGCCATAACTTATCGTATAGCCCATATTTTCCATAAGTGTCTCTTTAATAGCCGGCTGTAGAGCCCTTTGCATGTAAGTGGTCAAGAGACTGCGAACACCCATTGAGAATAATTTTTCCAGTTCATCTCTGAACGCATCATTGATATCCTCGCGATCACCGAACATGTTATCACCACCACCATCATTGCTGTTGGAAAATATATCGGCAAATGCTCTGGCATCCGGTTGCAATAAATCCTGAACATTATCATCGGAAAAACGCAGGATATCATCGTCAAAGTTCATTTCGTCATTCAAACGATCTGAAGCCATATTTCTAACTAGACGACGTCTATTGTAGGTGCTGCGCTTTTTACGGAATTGTCGACGATAGAAATTATCTCCATTCGGATCGAGAAGTTCCTGGGAATTGGCATCGGTCCACTCCAAGTCTTCGTCACGCATATTTGGTGGTATATAACCCTCACTTCGGATATCGAATATAACATCCGGTGTCAGTTGTGATGTTTGCGGTCGTTGGCCCTCGTTTGGCTCTTCATTGACAAAACTGTAACGACGTTTTGAGTTTTGTCGTAATTTTATTCCGGTTGGACCTAAAAATTGGAATGAATTAATGAAATTTAAAAAAATATATATAATCATATATTTTTTCATCAGTTTGAATTAAAAAAACACTGTAAGGCAAATTCAGAATCCCGAAGGATATGGTAATTTAATTTATTAAACATTCAAAAATTTAATCTTTCGTGGATTTTAATTTGATGTCTTCTAGTGATTTCTTAAGCATGTTCAAAATATTTCTTTCTTTAAAAATTGGAATCTATTCTACATACTATGATTTAAATATGTTTAATTTTTTATTAAAATATGTAAATCAGGTTATAAAGAAAGATTATATAACGACATCGAACTGACAAATTGGAAAATTTATGTTTGAAAACATATATCTAAAGGAGCCGGTGATGTGACAGATTATAATTATAAAACACCTAATTACATACCTTGACATCCATGGGCAAAAACTGATATAAATCCCGGTTCGGCAAAATGTGAATCCGTCCTTACAGAGGCAGCACCAATTCGCCGGGATTCTTCACCGCCTATCTTTTCAAATCCGATTGGCACAGTGTGAAATTCAATACCAGCATGTCTCAGCCTTAACATCATATTACATTTTCCACCCGTTGGCTGCAGTACAATGCGCCCGCTTAGTGTCAAATCCGGAAATATTAAACGTGTATCCAATGTTGAATTTTCCGAAATAAATTTGCATTTATCGATTTCAACCCATCGCGCACTTGTCTCAGGTGGCAATCGAACTCGCAAATCTTCAACCTCTACTCGTGATACTTGCAATTTATGTGGTTGCCTTTGGGTTTGATATTTTAGATATATCGGAGCGGCTTGCGGTGAGTTCGGGTACGTGGACAGGGCAGCATCAAAATCTAATCTTGAATTTGGTCCATAAATTCGATTATTTTTGGCATAATATCCACGATTCGGTTGTGGGTGGTAGAAATCATCATCAGTATTTTCATCCACCTGGCCGTAGAGGGAGTGATACAAGGTATAGGGCGATTGTACGGGAGTATACGAACGGGCGGATTTGGTTTGAAAACTTCGTCGCCTCATGTGTTCCAAAGCATTTTCCAAGCGATTTGAGCACCGCTGAGTGTTGCGATATGGCTGCGAGGAAACCACTGTAAAATGATACGAAATGCTTATGAATAGGGGTTTCTACATTTACAGAAAGTTCTTAAATGTGATCTTAAATTTGAGTATTCTTATTTTTATTTATCTTAAATGCCTAACCAAAAACATCAATATCTAATGAAACTTCTTCTAATTAATTGGAAACTATATTTTACGACCATTTCCCGCACACAATGAGTATCTCTGGATCTAAATCTATTAAAATATTTGGAGATCATTTGGAAATTTCCATTTGAAATTCGTAGAGTTTCATTTGAACTTCAAAGTAATTAAGTTACAAATTCAAAGAATTCAATTTGAAATGCATAACATTTCACTTTAATACAATATATTTTAGTTGTAATTCGTAACAATTCATTTCAAATTCATACAATGTTATGAATAATAAATGAAATGTAATTCAAACCAAATATTATGAATAAATAATAATTTCAAATGCAATCCTTTGAATTTCAAATGGAAGTATATGCATTACAACTGATATATTATGAATTACAAATGGAATTCTCGACCACTCATTCGGGCAAAGGAATGAAAATTGCGAATTGTTTAAAACTTTGCACATATTAATATTTTAATTAAACGAAATTGCACGAGTCTGACATGTATGCACCGATTCTGCAGACCTCGAAAAAGTGTACAAAAAGTATTTTAATAAGGACACACACATTCTTATTGGACTCAAATATACATTTTACGGAAACAATAAAGCTCCCCAACTTAAGAAAAAAATCTCAAGACTTTTTTTTTTGTGTCGCTCTAATTAAAATATATATATATATATATATATATATTGTAAAGTCGTTCTATAGAATTCATTTAATATGTTTGTCGAATTGTGTCCCAATGAAATTAAGTGAAATCGGATCCTCGTTTTAATTCCTTGAAATGATCGTTATCTGTACGTATACTATTTTTTACATTTAATCCACTGCTATTAGTTTACACTTTACTGTATATAAAATGTCACTCCGATGGCCTTTTTACGGTTCAGATTGTTCATGACGAATCTACAATTGGTTTTAAACAACATCGAATGAAACACTCTTTTTATGTTTTTTCCTTCAAATAAATTTATTACCTTCGAATAAAATAAATAATAAAATAAAAAGTTGCGAATTTGATTTTAAATAATCACGATACGAGTTTATTCGCCGACAAATTCTCAATTCTTTTAAAGGAAAAAACATTCTGACACGACTTGCCAAAGAATTACTTTTCCGTCTTGGTAAAATTTGCTAAGACACCGTTATAGTATCGCTTTATCCGGCGGCAATAACAACGATTCGGGGTGAACTGCCTTCGACTGAAACTACAACGAAAATGTTGGGCGAGATGGTATAACACATATCGCTCACCGACACCCAACTACAACTCTACCATGTGAAAAACAGCAAAATACGAAGAAGAAGACCAACACCGTAAAAGTGGATCATCACCCAACGATCATCAGTTTCAGTCACTCGCGCAGTCATTCCGTTTGTACAGCATGAAAAGTTTCTTTTCTTCTTGGTTGTTGGGTTTATTATTTGGAGGGTGCCCATTTGTCTGCCACATACATACTACCGCAACTAGCAAAACTTACACACACACACACACACTACATTTCCATTGCAAGTTTTATCTGAGGCTTTTCCGAAAGCAGGTGAACCCTACGATTCAGTGTCATTTCTTTTAAACGTAAATTCGTTGTCATCTCGACATCAGTGAAAGTGTTTTCCATACATGAACGATTACATACATACATACGTACTTACATATGTATGCAAGAGTTGTCGGTATGTGTTGTTAAGAAACAATGTATGTTTCTTGTTTTTTTCTTTTTGCAGTAATTATTCCGCCATACTCCATGTGAAAATTAAGAAGACACATTCGTAACTTACCTGCCCAACAATTCATCCAGCGGACGAATTCATCCGCAGCCATTAAAAAACAGAAACAAAAACAACTAACAAAAATTATAATTAGTTTTATGCCCTCTCTCATTTTTGTGGAAGAGGTGATGATGAATTTTGTAATCCATGCGAATATGGAAATAAAATACAAGCTTAACAAACGGTTTATAATTTATGGTGGATATTTTGTGCACCCTACAGGGAGCATAATTGTCTGGATACAATTTTCTTATATTTATTTCCCAACGACAAAGGAAAAGTCGATATGTCGACTTGGGATCCTCTTTGGACAAAATTCGTTTCAGTCTTGTGTATTCCTATCAAAGGGATACATCGATTCGGTCAAATTTGTCATTCCTTTTGAAACACCCCAAAATATTAACAGGAGACCCCATAAGTTATATTTTTATATTTCCGATTAGAAAAAAAATCAGCGTCGAGTACCCATTTAAGATAGAGCAATGAACTACTACACCCTAAATGTTTGTTATTGAAAATGGGATACATCGGTCCACTATTTTTTTACAGGACTCATATAACCCAATTGACTATAAATTGGTCTCATTTTCATACTAAATTTCAAATATTATTATAATAATTATTAAGACATTTCTGTAATGTTTTATTTTTATTAATTAAATTAATTAAAATATATTTTCAAAGGACGAAATTAATATTAATAAATTCCGAACTGACACAGGAAAATAGTACACATTTTAGTCGTTTTTAATTCACTGCCTCATTAGTGTGGCAAAGACTTTGAAAGATTTTCAATTCAATGCATTATATTTGTATCTTGTGTTTTTTGTTTCGATTCCTTATGGCTTCAAAAAAAAACTGTTAAACCCGTGCCATTACTTCACGCTCTGTTGACTGAAGATTGTGCGTTTTATGTCGTGTAGAGTGTAAGTTTGTACGTAACACGGACCCATCATACTCAGATAATACGTGTGTATGTGTGTGTGTGAATCTCACTAAATTTGGTTAAAAGTTGTAACATTTTAAAAATATAATTTGTTGCAAATTGACATTCTGCAGTTGTGGCGTGTGTCTCCGTTGTGTCATTGCAGTGCAGTGCAACCATCCAACTAAAAGACCACCCACAACAGCACGTCCTACCACCCACCTAAAATCTATGGATGTTGCCGGCGTTTAGATAATTTGTTTAACCCAAATGAATGAATGGAAATACAAAATACTTAGTGGCAGTTACGCCAGTTACAACATCTAAACGTTTGAAAATTACTGCTGTTGCGCCATAAAATTGGCCGTTTAAAGTTTCCGCAATGAAAAGGTTGAAGTTTTCTCACAACAAGAATTTCTTGCAAATCTGCTTCGAATCCATGAATTTCTCGAATTTTCTTTGTCAGTCGTTTCTCGTTTTCTGTTTTTTTTTTTTTCTTCTATTGGAAACACGTCTCCGTCTCTTCCAAACTCTATTAAGGGCATTGTCGCGCTTCGGCAAAGCGATTAAGAGCGCACTGAGAGTGCCAAAAAACCAGAAATGTAGTTTTTCTTTTATTTTTCAAGCCAATAAAATAAACATTTGTATGTATGAAGTTATACATCGGCTTATATTTGCCCAAGAAACATGCATGACAAGTGTACCTTAGCCGAAAGTGGAGCTTGTAAACGCTTGGCTTAATTCACTCATTTCTTAACATTTAATTGATTAGGCGATTTTCTTTTCTTGGCTTAAGCTTTTTTTGGGAGAAACTTTTCCCAAATTTGAAGATGTGACAATGTGAAGATAAAAACGTTTTTGAAACTTATTTCAGATATATGTATAAGTTTTGTGTCAAAATTACTATGCTGCTGCCTATTATTTATTGGATATTTTAATCAATCTTAAGACAAAGGGACAAACATTGATATCCCATGTCGGAATAAATAAGCAATTCGTTTAACAATTTGTTCAGTTAATTTGTTCAGTTTATTTTTGTATTGTACCCATTGACATTTGTATATTCAGGACAATGGACAATCTAAGTGACATCTGGAGGGCGACAAATTTTTGTTGGTATATTTTTAGGTAGACTCACAATATATAGTTAAGTTGTACTTATATGAGATCCCTTCGTCGATGTTATTGGTGGTAATTTTAAATTCGTTATTAGGAAAGATCCGAAACTAAGATAGATCTCTTTGTCTCAAACTGACACATTTGAAAATCAAACCTTCACTCTTTGTTTAAAACCAATATACAAGTGGTTGGACGGGAACGATCATGTATTGTCCTATAGATTTTATAACAGGAGCAGCGGAGCTATATAACAATATTAATGACCACTTACTGTAAATCAATTTGTTGACCCCTTTTCCCCGAATTATTAACAGAGCAAAAACTATGGATATCGTATTTGGCCAGATCCTGGTTCAAGGATCAATATTTCGTGGTGTTACAGCTATTAACCCAGTAGGCTTCAAAAATCAAAATTTTTGCTTTTATTTGATTCAAAACCACATTTATTCGAAAATATCTTCTCTAAACTACACCTTTTTCACATGTTCTTCAAAACATATCAAATGTAATTCGAGAATTCCATTTGTAATTAACAACATATAATTTGAAATTCGAGAATTCCACTTGCAATTCAACACATATCATTTGTAATTGGAGAATTTTATTCGTAATTCATAGAATATCTTTAGCAATTCATAGAATTCCATTTGAAAATCATATACTTCCATTAGAAATTAAACAAATTCCATTTGAAATTCCAAGCTTTTGATTTGAAATACATAACATTTCATTTGTTATTCATAACATTTAATTTTAAATTCGAAAAATTTTATTGGTAACAAAAAATGAATACGTATGAATTTGAAATTAATTTTTAGGAAATACAACTGAAATTTTATGAATTACAAGTAAAATGTTATGTACAGTCGACACACATTGGCATAGCCTGGTAATTATGATTAATACCACTGTGGTTGGAGTTTAAATCCTTGACTTTTAGGGCTATATTTTCTAGCGGCGGACGTTGACGTCTCAAGGCCACACACTACCAAAAATAGGTTTTTCCTATCCCATTTGCATCAATAGAAGCACGTTTCAAAACATTTAATGAAAATAATATAGCACTTTCTAAATATGGTCGAATGTACCCCTCTTTAAAATGCCAAATCTATCCCAAATGTACTTTCTATACTTTTTATAATTTTTTTCCAGCCATCTTGTAAAAACATTATATATTTAATTATTTTTTAAAGAATATACATTGTAATTAACGACTTATTAATGATACTACCTTAAAATTGGAAAAGTTTTATACAGGAAGTATATACAAAATCGAATTGAAATATTACAAAGACATCTGTAAAAATACAAAAACCCGTGCATCTAAATAAGCTTATTTGCTAGAAATGCGTGAGAGTGTACTCTTTCATCTCATATAATTTTTTTTTAATTTTCTGGATATCCGAACCACTGTGCGATATACCTTTTTTAATATCAATTATCCTAGAAGTGGTAGCAATGCATTTTTCATATCAATTTCAGCACAAGATTTCGAAATTTTTGTACTGTTTAGGAATTTTGGTGCTACCTAAAATTGTGTTAAAATTCAAATAAACCAACCATATTGCCTTGGTCTTGAACAAGCCACACAATTAAATTGACATAATTAAAAGTCTATTTGACACTTCCAACTATGCATTTATTTTCAATGTGGGTTGCAAGGGCAAATTGCAAAAGCCAAAAGAAATTGGCAACAACCCCTTACGATTGACACCCAATTATTTCTAAACTCCATTACTTAATTATACTAGCCCACCTAGCATCCCATACACACGCACCAACTTCTGTCCATAAGTATGTGGAACACATGCAGCTACTTAGCCTTTGAGTAGTGGATAGCTCTACTATTTCCCACTGTAACTTATATTGCTGTTGACCTCTTTGTTGTGTACACTGGGCTGGGTGGTATTGTTTTCAACATGTTTCGCCAAGCAAAAGAAAGTAAATACAATGGTGGGAAAAGCTGTTAAACTAATTACACCTTTCTTGTCCAACCAACTAACTCAATTCTGCAGTCTATCCAGCTGAGAATTGAGAAGAACTCCAACCACTCTGGCCGTGGACGGAATGAAACTAACCAAACAATGTCATTATTTGTGTTCGCTTGAAAGCGTCACTAACAGATTCAACACAGATACACACTGGACAAGCGGCTTAAGTAATAATCGGGTGTGAAATGTCGACATTAATTTGTCAACGAATACTATTGTAATGACCAAAGATACATATCTAAGTGTAATTGTAACATTGATATTATTTCATAAACATATATCCTAATTACTTTGATACTATGCCAGCTACAATGAGTATTGATTTTCGAAATAGTTTCCAATTATGTCTAAATTTGAAAGAAATATAAATATTCGGGAAAATTGCTATGGAAGAAACAGATATCAATTACAAAGACACGAATATCCCCTATTTAAATAGAAAAACAGAAAAAAACACAACATTTCTGTAAATACAAGTGTATTTACCCAAATAAGATCCCAATAAAAAAATAACTAAAAAAGCTTAACCCATTCGAAAACTATAACGAATTTACTATGATTGTTTTAGATAGATTATGATTTAAGCATGGATTTAAATAAATATTATTTTAATGTATATATAATTTTGAGTTCCTACATCTAGATGGGTACAAATGTACCACGGTTATTGATCTACGTATACTTTTTTGGTTATTGATCGTAGGGTTAAACATACAAAACATTCAATTATAGTAACTTCAGTACATTGTAGGAAATTGTATGCAGGTCGCCCAATTTTGGGTCTTTAGTGCACAATTTACATTAAATTGGACGAAAATATATATGGGAGCTAAATCTAAATCGGAAGCGATTTTCACAAAACTTAGTACACATCATTCTGGATCGAATTCAGAATCGTATGCCAAATTTCGTGCAAATCGAAAGACTTTGGTGCCCCATTTACCTTAAATCGGACGAAAATATATATGGGTGCTATATATAAATCTGAACCGATTTTCTCGAAACTTAGCACAAATCATTCTAGACTCAATTCAGTACACCGTGCCAAATTGCATGCAAATCGAAGGGTATATAGGGACCTTGGTGCCCCCTTAACCTTAAATCGGGCGATAATATATATGGGAGCTACATATAAATCTGAACAGATTTACTTGAAACTTGGCACACGTCATTCTAGACTCAATTCAGTACACTATCCAAAACTTCATGCAAATCGAAAGATATATCGGGACTTTGGTGGACCATTTACCTTAAATCGGACGAAACTATATATGCGAGCTATATCTAAATCTGAACCGAATTTCAATAGGGTTCGTCCTTGGGCCAAAAAGTCGAACCATTATGTGGGCGCTATGATAAAATATCGACCAACAATTGTCTGCATAAAAATGTTAACCATCACATTTCAATATAATTGTCAATATCTCTTAACAACTAAGACCATAACCATATCCTGAAATTACCTAAAAATATTTACGCTAATACCTTTAAAATAATTACCAAATCTGTTCTTTATTACCACCAAAAATATATTTATTATAATTGTTTTTCAAATCACAATATTGAACGCTGAACAAGGGTTGTTGTCACCCAAAGGGTAGATTTTCCGCAACTTCCTTATTACAAAGTCATTACGACGACATCCTGTTACAGATTGATTTGTTTCCTTTTCAAACCTTAACTTATCGAATACATGGCAAGGCAGTTAACCGTTTTTTTTAGTTTCAAATATTTTTGTAATTTGAAGTGTTTAAAAAATGTTATATAAAATAAAAATTGCTATCACCTGGGAGAAATTTTGTTTCCTCCCATATGCGTCGGTTTAAGTCCAGTTTTATACCCTCCACCATAGTATGGAGGGTATATTAATTTTGCTATTCTGTTTGTAACTCATCGAAATATTCATTTCCGACCCTATAAAGTATATACATATATTCGAGATCAGGGTAGAATATTAAGACGATCGTCTGTCCGTCCGCCCGTCTGTTGAAATCACGCTATCTTCTGAAGAAATTGAGATAGATACCCAAAATTTTGCATAGAGTCGACTTTTGTCTGCAGGCAGGTCAAGTTCGAAGATGGGCTATATCGGTCCACGTTTGGAGTTCTTGAGCGCGCTTTTCAACTGAATTCGAAATTTGATACATTGGGTTATTTTTTAGTACCAAATGTCTCCACTAAAAATAAATATCGGTCCACTTTTTACAACCGAATTCGCTGAAATTTGGTATATTGGGTTCTTATTGGGTACCAAATTTCTTTACTAAAAAATATAAATATAGGCCCATTTTTTCGGGTAGCCCCCATATAAGACACCCACAATTTATGGTATTTTGGGGTTCTTGAGCGCGTTTTTCAACCGAATTCGCTGTAATTTGGTATTTTGGAGTCGCATATTATAACAAATCTTCCTACCAAAAATTAGTAACATTCGCCCCCTTTTAGGAGTAGTTCCCACATAACCTCCTCCTTATATTAATATAGATAGTTGATTAGTTTCGTGTGTAGGGGTTGTCCCCATATAGGCGTATTCTACCATAGTATAGGAGATAATCGTTACTCGAAATAGTCAGTTTTACCCTACAAATTATGGAATTCTAAGACGATTTAGCCATCGGTTGTAATCATTCCGCATTCTAAGGAAATCGTGATAAAAAAAACTCAAATTTGACCATAAGTGTATCGGCCAGCATTTAGGCATCTACCCCATAACTATACCTCCTGTAGGAAAGAATTGAGACACAAAACAAAAATATTGGGTTCGAAATTGACATATATCGGTCAATACCTAGGCATAGCCCTCATATAATTATAACCCCAAATATTCGCTAATTCCTACACTATGTAACCTAAGTTTGTAATCTAAACCGCTTTGTAGAATTATCGGTATAGGTTCACTTTTTGGCATATTCCCTATATTTTCATTTCAAGTATCTGTCAGTATACCTATGGTGGAGCGTATTTTTTGTTTTTTTTTACATACCATTTAAATCATATATAATATCAATTTATTTTGTAATTTCTAACATAAACACATTAGACCGACTACGTCAATTCGTCTAGCAACAGTGGCAATAACACCAACAGCAGCAACAACAACAGTAATCACAATAATTTGGTTTTGGAAAGTCTGCATAGCAATCGACATCATCACATCGACAATATTAACCCTATCAACAACAATCCTTATTCATCCTCTCCACCGACTAACCATCATTCGGCGATTGCAACAACACAAAGTGATGTCTCCACAGCATCCGCCGCAGTTACAGCGACAACAGGTCACAAATCATCTCATTGCACCGGTAGTCAGGGTCGTGGTGGCAACAGTCCCACAAACCATGAAAAAAAGAAATGCATAGAACTACAATCTGGCGGTGGCAATAGCAGCCATCACAACAACAATAACCACAATTTATTGGACACAACCGCCGACATAGATAAGGGTCACTGTTGTATGGCAACACCATTGACGAGCATATCGTCGAGTGTATCTTCCACGGCGGTGGTTACGGCATTGCCAAGTACAGGTATGTAGATGGATTATGTTTGGTTAAATATTATTTTAATAGTTGTAATTGTTTGTTATTATTTTATAAATTCAATGCTTTTAAGATATAACACGTGATCAATGGTATGTCCATCATACGCCCACACATCCTCAACATCAATTGCCGGAAGAATTTGTTATGTATGCACCTGCATTGCCAACCAGCAGTTCCGCCTCATCCATTGGTAAATTTGGCATCGAAAGTACAACGGAAAGTTATTTGAATTCAAGATATAACGGTAAGTTTGGTTTATAAAATATACATCCAAACATTATTATCAAACCGTTATTTCGAAATGTATACCCATACGAAATTAAAATAAATTATCAGTTTATAGTGTCTTTGGCAATATTACTAATAACATTGTGAGGAATCTTTTTGTTTCAAATGTTAACCCTCAACCATGATTGAACACTCAATGATTGAAAACTCATATAAAAGGGGCTATAGTAGGCCAGAATATTCTAAAAAAAAGTTTGCTATAAGTCTCAATAGACCAAAATTCGAAAATCATCATTAAAGTAGTTGTTTTAGTAACTAACGAAAAGTCTTTCTTTTCGAACGGCATTCGAATGAGTACATGTCTGGCTCTGGTATGAGCTAGGATTTTAACATCGCACCAAAATTATCCCTATTTTTGACCACAAACCAAGATATTGACTAATTACATTTATCCTCGTTCATACGATAGCTATGTATGTAAAATTTGGAACAGATTGGATTCTTAGTTCTTGAACTATCGTGCCCGCCATTCAAAAAAAAAACTGTTTCGAAATTTTAAAGGGACACTCTTGAATTAGATTAGGTTCAAATTAAATAGAAAAAACCAAATTCAATATTTGGAAACCGAGAATGGGGGGTTGGTAACCGTAAATCGCTCCTATTTGGAGTTTGTACCAATGTTTCCCACAAAATGTCGTTTTAGAAGAATGCTATAGACGTCTAAAAAAACTCCACCTAATTTTAGTATATGTCATCGTACAAAAAAATCGGTACAGCTGCATTCAGAATAATAGCTGTGGGCATTGCAATAATTTTAAATACGTAGAGTAACTTCGGGTAATGTGGACCATTCGTCTAATGTGGACCACCCCCCATATCTAAGAAAATGCTTAAAATATGTAAATGAAGCCTTGATAAATGTTTTCCTGATTAGTGAAAACAAACATCAAACTTGGTTTTTAATAAATAATTGCAATATTGAAAATATTGTAGTAGAAAATGTAGCTCCCATTGTAAAAGTGTGATTTTAACATTTTTTAGCACAATAGTCGAACGTTTTAGCTAAATAGTCGAACACTTTGTTTTTTTCAAATATAAAGAAGTTTTGTGGTTTTCTTGTTTTCTTTTACAAAAATATACGTTTAGCTGTAACTACAATCGGTGATTTTTAAATTTTTATTCATTTTTGAAGCCGATAATTATTTCTAAATAAAAATATTCAATGTCGGGTAATGTGGACCACTATAAAAAAGTGGGACCTTTTCATGAGGATGAGTTGGAAACATAGGCGCATTTAATACGCGAGGATGCATTCTATCCTCTGAAAACTCGATATGCGAAATTACAGGTGCTTCGGTTGGATAATGAAGCAAAGACCTTCAAAATAACACAAATGGGGCGGTACCCTTAAATGGGGGCTATTCCAAAACATGAACCCATTTATTTTTGCATTCATTGTTATCGAAGAGTGCAATAAATTGAAATTTATCACAACCAATCCACAAGCTACCTTTAACTTAGTGATCCTCATCACTCACACATACTGGTCCACATTACCCGCCAAGTTATTTTTATTCGCAGCTTAAAGTTTTTTGAAATATAATGCAATAACATTTTTATAGACAAATATATATAATGTTTGACCTGGAATATATTTAGCCAACAAATCTACTATGTTGTAAAAACAATTTGTTTTTATTTTGAACCGTTGTTACGCCCACAATATCAAAAATAGAAAATGGTGGTCCACATTACCCGAAGTTACTCTAACAAGGGTTTCCAATATTTATGAATGTTTTGAAGTTTTATTTCTTTTACATCGTTAGTTTAATAACTTAAACTTAAAACACAAGAAAAACATAAATTGAATTCAAATTGGTCATACAAAAATATTTAAATTAATTTAGTCAAAATAATATTTATTTTCAAAAGGTACGCATTTAAGTCAGTTTTTAGTGGCAACCCCATTTTTACTCGCAATTACAGCCGCACACCGTCGTGGTGCACAGAGTTCACCACATTTTGACACTTTTCAACAGGAATTGACTGTCAGGCATCCTTAACAATCTCTCACAATGAGCTGTTTCTTGTAAGTTTTCTTTGCGCAACCACAGCCTTTACATCACATCATAAATTCTCAATGGGATTGAGATTCGGAGACTGTGCCGGCCATTCCAATACCTTTACGTTATTTTGTGCAAACTACTGTTTGGCAAGAAGGCTGGTGTTCTTAGATCATTGTCTTGTTGGATCCTCCTCATTGCCATTATACTGGATCCTCCATGTTTTACAGTTATTAACGTAAATTTTGGATTAAATTCTGAATTAGAAAGCCGTCTTATGTACGCTCGTGAGTCTTTCCCGCCATATAGGACAATTTTTGACATATCAGTCCACAAAATGTTTATCCATTTTTCAATGGGCTAATCCAGATGTTCCTTGGCTAATTTTAGTCGCTTACCTAAATGTATTTTCTTCAACAACGGCACTTATCGTGGGCCTCGAACCGACAAATTAGTTTCCACAAAAAGTTTGTTTTTTATTTCTGTGGCTGAAGCAAAGGGGCTTTGTTTGGAACATATTACTACCATGCTTCACTAAATACACTAGGAAGTGTATTTTATAGCATTACGTACCATAGTCGGTGAGCAACATACAATATTTTGCACTTGTTTATAAGATTTAGCCTCCGAAATCAGACTTCTTATCAAAAAACGTTTTCTACAGTACAATGCACGCAACCATTTAAAAAAATCTAAGCAAAATATTTGTGAAAAATATATACTATACTATTTTGTTGTTGATATGACTATTATTCTGACCTATATATATATGATATATAGGGGAGAGGGGGGCACCTTTGAACACTTTTTTCTTTCAAGCCTCATAAAATTTTTAATTTTATAATTTTTGGTTTCTTATACATTTTAACTAATAGGTACATATGTAACCTTTACAATGAATATACATATGACATAATTTAAGCTTGAGGAAGTCAAAGTGTTCAAAACTGCCCCCCAGGGGGCACCTTTGAACAAGGCTTGACATTTTTGAACGGCTTGGTTTTTTACAGTGTTTATGTTAAATATAAATTTATTAAAAAATATATACAAAAAATTTTCGAAAATTAAAAAATTCAGATCAATATTTATTAAAACATAAAATGACATAAAAACAGAAATCAATATGGTGAAAAATACAGTTAATTTCGTAGTCTTATTATCCCATTTGAAATTTTGAGAAATCGAAGCCAAAAGATACAAATTCCGCTTTTTAGGGAAATGTGGCATTTTAGGGAAATGTATAATAACTTTTTTTGTAATAAATGTATATGAAAGAAATTACATTAGTTATGTTTGAAATGATTATTGGAATGCAAAAAATGTGTTTAACGAATGAAAACTTTCACATAATTCTTCTTGCGCCCTTACAACCAAAAGAATAAAAGTTTACAATTACACTGCGAAAACATGGTTACCCATGTACAATTTGTCGACAACTGAAAAAGCTAGCCAAAGTGGTTTATACAGATAAAGAACACGATTGCCATATACAAAAATGTGGTAGCGGGTCGGAAAAAAATTAAACCAAGATTTTATGAGCGCTGTTCAAAGGTGCCCCCGTTCAAAAGGTGCCCCTCTCCCCTATATATATATATATATATATATGATATTATTATTGTATTCATATTCATGAAAGAACCAAATACATATATTCTATTCTCATTGAGTCTGAACCTCGAACTATCGAAAAACAACATTTTAAATACATTACTAAGTTATAAAATACATTCATATTTTGCGTGTATTTATACTTGTATATACTTATATTTTCTTCTTTTTTGCCATCGAATTTACACAAACATACACATTATGTATACGATGATCTGTTTGTCTATCTAATAATTTCATTACAGCACGTGCGCGCTTTTTTATGCACCCCATGGTTTGTAGACCATGCCGCGGGGTCTTATTGACTTTTTTTCATAAACACTCGTCGAAGACTTTTTTATGTTGCAATTCGAACAAATATTTACATTGATTGTTATTGCTAAACAAGAAACATTCTTAATACGGGAAACTCCTCCCACAACTGCCTCGAATCTCAAACCTTTATCCAAGGACAAACAAAAAACAATTCTTTAGTGTTCGATATATGTGTGTTTGTGTGTGAGAAAATAGATTTTCTCCAACAATGAATGAAAGAACTGGGATGTCTTGACTCCTGTTGAGTGTTAATAGAAGTTCTATTTGTCGTTTCTTTGATATTTAACGTATTATTATTGTTATTAATATTACAATGTTGATAACAATCAACTACCGAACCACAATTATGTTGAAGAAAAGCCAACATCGGTTAGTTGGGTGTGTGCGTGTGTGTTTTTTGTTAAGAATAAATAAAAAAATAAAGTAAGATAAAAAGTGAGACTGAACTTCACATTTCTTTTTTTCTTCTTTCTTTTGCAGTGAATGTCAAAGGAGTGCGACATGAACGTACCACATCTTTTTTCGACATTCCAGCTGTGACGCACCCATACCCATGTTACAGGTAAATTAATGGAAACATAATCCAAACGATTTTTTGGTTGTACGATTGGTGGTTATAGACGACAAATGCCATCAACTTCTGCCACAGTCTACTTAACCTCAAACAAATTCATTGATATTAAATTGATTCCCTGACTGGGAAGACGAAGTGATAGTCATGCTTTAAAGTGAATTTTTGTTTTTCATTTCTCTCTCATGTTTGCTGCTACTGTTTGGATATAGATTTCCATCATCACCACCTGCAGGGATTTTAAAGAAAAACGATGAAGGTAAGATTTTAAGTCGATTAAACTAAGACCAACGATTTTCAGGTCACGAGTCGTGGCATCAAGCAAACAATATAAGCCAAATGAACAATATTGTTCAAATTCATTTGTTTTAATTTTATTCTCATTTTCATCACAAAAAAAAAATGAAACTCGCGGCAATTTGACGCTTTTGGTGTTATTGTTACTGTGTTTTTTTCCTGGCAGCTGTCTTACAGGATTGTGGCAATTGTAAAAATATTTCGCGGTTCATCAACGACGAACCAACCAATAACTCAATTTGTTTTTATTACATTTTCCAATACACATAAACAAATTGGGTTCATTAAAATTTATCCAACATCAAAAATATCACGAACACTTTATTTTCATTGAACGCTAATCCAATTGAGAGTTACGAAGACTGCTTGAATATGGTAAATTTGGTGAGGGCTGGAGTTTTTCATCCCTGCCGCTGTCTTCGCGTTGGCTCTTCCATAATGAACCGCTAACTATACGCCACCCATAAATTTTGATTATTTTGTTTACAACAGATGACTGCTATCAATATTCCGGCGGATAATCAGGTTGTTAGTTATCCGATTATTGAACTAAATCAGATCAGTGAATAATTCAATAGTCATGGAAACTTAAAAACAAATTATTTTTATGAAATATTATTTAAATTTTTATATTTTTACTAAAAATAAAAATTGAATTCATAATGGAGAGTTCGGGACATAAAGATGATATTTAAATGGACATAAAGATGATATTTAAATGGAACAAATTGGTCAATTGCTACTTTTCTGAACTAAAAGACGACAATAAGTAATAATTTATTTAAGCATTTTGATATCCTCAACTCTGGTTTGCAGAGTAATTCAGTGTTACACACATGTTTTATTATTCGTTTTATATAAAGTATATGTTTTTATCAAATAGGTTTTGGATTTAATGTTGATCAAATCGGTTATTAAATTCGCTTCAAATATAATTTACAAGTTTATATAATATTGACTCTTTTTTAGAGGAGGTACCAGAAGGAGGGGACAAATGGGTCTCATTTTCGGACTTGATCCTGGAATTTATAAATATTGACCATTTTGACCTGTTGGGGGATGTAGCAGATGGAGTGGACCAATGGGTTCATCAAGTCTGATGATGAACCCTAGGCTTGGTAAAGTTAATATGTTGTACAAAGTCGTCTTGTTGTTCGTATTAGGTTGGGGAAACAGAAATCCAGAATGTTTATATGAACTATAGGACTTTATTTAACATGCTTCGGAATGTCCGAAATGGTCCAAATATGCACCGTTTTGTTATATGTTTTGCTGCCATTTTGAACGTAACTTCATAATGCCTCTCTCATAGAAGTCCTGCTCTCTATTTGCAAAAAATTCTAGTGGTCGATTTTCACAAACCTCCCTAGATACCAATTTTTATCATTAAATATATGTTGCAATGCCAGAAAAATATGATAATCGCTTGGTGCCAAGTCCGGACTGTATGCATTAAAACTTCCCGATCAAGTTCCCGAAGTTTCTGGCGAGTCACTGTAGATGTGTGTGTCCTAGCGCTGTCCTGGTGGAACACGACACCTCTCCTGTTGGTTTAAAACAGTTTTATGGTCGATTTTTAGCTCATTTGCGATGATACGACTGCTAACATGCCGGTCAACTCCGATCATTTCTTCGATTTTATCGACATTTTCGACGACCAGCCTATCGCTGCGATGCGCATCTTTAACATAAAAAATTCCTGAGCGAAATCTACCAGTACAGTCAACTACCGAACAAATAATGGATTTATTTTTCCCCAACCTAATATATGGGAGCTATATTCAAATATGAACCTATTATCACCAATTTCAATAGAGTATGACCTTGTGCCATGTTCCATCACAATTTAAATTTTGAGAATTTATTCGACATTTGAGAATTTATCCGACAGATTGATCTTCCTTCGTTGTTCCAGCAGAAAAATCGCCACAAGACAAGCAAGCAATCGACACGAGCCTTTTTTGAACTATTGTCAAAATATCCGGGATCCATCAAGAACAAAATCTTTACGACCATATTCATTCATGCTCTATCGAAAGTGTGCTAGTGGATGAAATGTCATTTTCATTTCACGCACTGTACCGTTTTTGTGAAAAATGATAGCAAGAAAATATTCACGATTTATTCCATTTTTTGGTAAATTGATTTTTAAGTCAGTTTACAAAACAACACATGGTCGTACGCTTATGCAAAAAATGGTCCGAAGAGCCACTTTTCTTGACCAAAACTCTTAAATGTTAACGTATTGGTATTTTTAATATGGATTTCAATTTGCAACATAATTTGAGAGTTTCTTCTTTTTTTTAAATTTTCAACATTTGACATAAACTCCTCCACCATGTGATGTGTATTCAAAAGTTCTTAAAAGGTTGAAACCTTTTTTGGGTGTATGTTCAACGATGGAAATACATCGAACATACTTTGGAGATATATTTTCACCCTACGATAATCCGGGATCACAAACAATGGCCACACCAGATGGAAATCCATAACATCAAATTTGAGCTAATTTAGTTGGAAAACTTGTCCAAAGTCCTCAAAATATGGAATAATGGAGGGTAACGCTACATGGGGAATAGCCGGAAACTTGGACCTTGCTACCCAAAGAGAATCATAAATATAAAATTACAGATAATTTACAATCGAATGACAAATTTATTATGATATAAAAAATGCAGAATTCTCTTATCTGTTGATAACTAAAAAATAGTACAAAATCGCAAAACGGGATACACATTTTTAAAAACTAGAAACCGTAAAGTAATGTTAGTCTTTATTACGTTGCTAAACTAAAAAAAATAAATTCCAAAATTTTAAAGGCTTTAGACACGTTAGCATGTTTAGATTACAAAATCCACTCTATCTCATATCAATTACATACCGTATATGTCACCTTAATCCTTTGATCCCTGATTTTTCCGCAATCTTAGAAGAAATTTCTGTTCATAGATTTAATGCAACTATCCTAAATAGAATATCCACAAGATGTTACATCGCTACATCATCGCATTCGGGAGATACAGTACATTCTTTCGGAAAAATTAAAGTTCAATATCAAGAAAACCAAATGCAAAATCGACAGAAAAATAATTTTAAATATACACAAATTAGTACCGTAAACAACGTTGCCCTCTTCTCTATATTGAAAAGCTCATACCAAATTTTGATTTTTTTATTTTTCTTTTGATATGTGTCATCCATAATCATGTCTGAACATATGAAATCCAAATAATATATATCTACTAGCTGCATATTAAATATAAGCTCTAAAACATGTTGTTGCCTGTGGGCAACATTGGGCCACAAAGGGTTAATCATGTTCACAAATCCCCTGGATTGTATTTGATGTATACGCTATGAAATTGACATTTAAGTAGATTTCATAAATCTAAACGCACTTTTATTTTCCATAGTAGGGGAGACTGGGGCACCTTCGGCATTTTTTTTAGAGCTCTATATCTCAGTACATATTCAACATATATAACAACTATATGGCTGATTATTGTCCTCTGACACTTAATTATGAAAATAGTACCAAAAAGATATATAAAAATAGTATTAGTTAAAAAATTTTACAGTTTTGTAAAAAAAGTCAAATTCCGAATGTGCCCCAACCCGGGGTAGCTTCGGCATTTGATGGGGCACATTCGGCACCATAGTCATAGCCGGGTAATTGTCATCGCTATCAGTCTGGTTGAAATTCTGATTATCTAAAGGCTCTATTTGGTTTTAATACGCCACACAATGTTTGAATTATAGGGCTTTATTTTCTAGCGGCGGACGTTTACATCTCCAAGTCGCACACACCATCAGAAATAGGGGTTTTCTATCGCATTTTCGTCAATATAAGCACGTTTGATCTTTTATATGCAATTTCGAGCCATATTAAAGGATTAGTTTTAAAGACAAACTCAAAAACATTTTAAGGAAATAATATTGCACAACCTGTATATGGCCGAATGTGCCGAATGTGCCCCGATGTACTTTTTATAGTTTTTTCATTTTTTTCGATCAGTTTTGTAAAAATATTATATTTTTAAATATCTCTATAATAATACACATCGTAGTTAACCACTTTTTAATAATATTGTCTTAAAAATTTAAAAAGTTTTATACACGAAATACTTACGAAATGGAATTGAAATATTACAGAAACATCTATAAAAATACAAAAACCTATGTATCTAAATAAGCTTATTAGCTAGAAATTTCAAACTTTGTGTAAGTTATTTATTTCGATATTCGATACCTATGTATCGAAACTAGTGATGTACGGTGAGAGCTTCATATCGAAAACGCGATTGCCGAAGGTACCCCGATGCCGAAGGTGCCCCAGTCTCCCCTATAGGATTTTTAAATATATTATTTTACAAAATTAATATACTTGCCACCACCTTCGATGTCTATTTCAATTTTTATTTAGATTGGATATTATTTTTTATTTACTTCGAACCTATACTAATTCAAGAATGTCCCTATACATGTTTTTGTGAAAATCTCAACATCTCATGAAGATGTAGCTGATTCTTTGTGCCTGAATCCAACCCGTTCCAAAATTTCGCACGTTATTCTAATATCTATATACAAAATTACAAGTCTTCAATTTAATGCATGTCTTTGAGGTAGTTTTCACTAGAATAATTATTTACTATTATTTTCAACAGTTTCTACATTGTACAACTTTACATGTACAACTTTATTGAATTCTACAAATAGTTTCCTCCTTTCCTTTGCTAAAGACTCCTTCCACCATTGGGATTTTGTTTTTCTTACTTCCATCAAATATTTGATGATCCTATGGGAATGTTTACGCAACATTTTAACCTTATTTTCAACTCCATTAAGTTATCGGTTTTGCTGCGTTCCCACTCCACAGACCTTAACACTGACTTCGACTCACACCACCCAAGGATGTTCGTACGGGTAGTAGCTGTGTTGTTGATATTGTTGTTATTAATGTTTCGTTGATACCTTCCAACCCTCTTTGCTTTGCTTTGGCTTCTCATAAAAGCCATCATCCATCCATCCATACACTCGCTCGCTTCTCACTCACACCAAAAGCTTCTGTCTGTACTGCCGTGTATTTGCTGATGCCACTCCGACACTTGCTCATAGATTATGCAGGTATCTGTTGAATATTTCAACAGAATTGATTCGGTTGAAACGAAGAGCTACACAACCACTGTGACCGTGCTAAATACTGACTGACATACCGACATTCTCTGCATATCGCCATATCGCTTTCAAGATGCAATCATGAAGAACAAGGATACTTTGTTACGGCTGGGTCTGAATTAGCTCGCACAATTTACAGCCATGTTCGCTTCGTTGAGTGCACAAACATCCAATATCCATTCCCCGTACAGTACGCAATGTTAAATGGTAAAGACCAAACAAAAAAGTAAAATAACAAAAACAAATGATTTTAAAAGATTTGCTGTTGTTGTTGTGGGAGCACAAAACACATTTATATTTAATTAATCCTCATTGTTTTTAAATAGCTTTATTTGCCATGAAGGGTGCTGGAGATATGTGAGGGTGTGTTGGCCATTTAGCGTTAAGGACTCTTTGTTGCTGCTCTTGTTGTTGTTGTTCATGATGTTGTATTATTAAGCAGATTATTACAGATTGTGTGAAAAACAAAAAAAAACAAAAATTATAACATGAATCTTTTTTTGAAAGTCTGTTGAAATTTGATTTCGACCAAAGGGTTAACCCTGTGTTGTTGCTTGTAACGAGAAGTTGTCGGTGAATAATAATTTGAATTATATCTAAATCAGTTTTTTTGTAATTATACAAGCATCAAGCATCAAACAAAATATCGGTTGTGAACATTATAACATAAATTTCTAATCGCTTTGTTAACCTAAATATAATTTTAATAATTATTTCCATAGACCGCAATTAATAATAAATGTCTATATATATTAGGTTGCTTCGGAATGTCCGATTTGGGCCAAATAATCACTGTTTTGTTGCCATTTTAAAGGAAACTTAATAATGCCTCTCATGGAAGTCCCGCTTTCAATCTGCAAAAAAAAATGTAGTAATCGATTTTCACAATCCTCCCTAGATAGCAATTTTTTATCATTAAAGAAATTTTGCAATGCAAGCAAATGTGTCAAGTCCGGACTGTATGACAGATGCATTACCCGAGCTCCCGAAGTTTCTGGCGATTCACTGAAGATTTGTATGGCCTAGCGTTGTCCAGGTGGAACACGTATCTCTCCTGTTGGCCGTTTCTGGTCAATTGCTATCTTCAAACGGTCCAGTTGTTGACAGTAGAGATCAGAATTTAGCGTAATGTAAATGGTTTAAAACTGTTTTATGGTCGATTTTTAGCTCCAAGACGGTGTAACAAATCTGTTTTTTATTTAGAAAAAAAAATACAAATGGTATCCCAAATAAACTGCCAACACTACTGAAATTTAGAAAAATAATATTGATCAGGTGGAAATTATTTTTCAACATAGTAGTGTTTGGCGGGTTATTTGGGATACCATTTGTATTTTGTTTTTGCAAAATAGTCAGTGGGGAATGTATGGCATTGTCCGCCGAGGGGTAAGGCAGGGAAGACTATAGTTTCGGATCTCGCCACTGATCCTCATCAGTTCCCTTAGTTTTTTGTTGGGATATTCTCCCCAGAAGCTATTAATAGCTTCTTTTCAAAAAACCTTTCAAACCCAAATGTCTCTTGTGACAATTCGAAGTTCTTACGTTACCAGCGATACGACCCCAATGAGAAGTTCGTTTCGTTGGCGCCTGACTTCGTGGTCAACAAGGCATTTACAGACAACTACAATACATTTCCCACTGCTATGTGTCGTCACTTTGTGACGAATGCACATAACGTTGTTGTTGGCATTGCTAGTTAAAGCAATAAACCAAACAGTATGACCGAGCCTCGTCTATAACTTCAGTAGTGTTTGGCGGGTTATTTGGGATACCATTTGCCATACATTCCCCACTAATAAATAGTTGTTTTTTATAAAAACAACAAACTGGGATTAAGCCTGACTATTTTGCAAAAACAAAATACAAATGGTATCCCAAATAACCCGCCAAACACTACTGAAGTTGTAGACGAGGCACGGTCATACTGTTTGGTTTATTGCTTTAACTAGCAATGCCAACAATGCTTCTGGGGAGAATATCCCAACAAAAAACTAAGGGAACTGATGAGGATCAGTGGCGAGATCCGAAACTATAGTCTTCCCTGCCTTACCCCTCGTTGTTTTTTATAAAAACAACAAACTGGGATTAAGCCTGACTATTTTGCAAAAACAAAATACAAATGGTATCCCAAATAACCCGCCAAACACTACTGAAGTTGTAGACGAGGCACGGTCATACTGTTTGGTTTATTGCTTTAACTAGCAATGCCAACAACAACGTTATGTGCATTCCCATAGCAGTGGGAAATGTATTGTAGTTGTCTGTAAATGCCTTGTTGACAACGAAGTCAGGCGCCAACGAAACGAACTTCTCATTGGGGTCGTATCGCTGGTAAAGTAAGAACTTCGAATTGTCACAAGAGACATTTGGGTTTGAAAGGTTTTTTGTAAAGAAGCTATTAATAGCTTCTGGGGAGAATATCCCAACAAAAAACTAAGGGAACTGATGAGGATCAGTGGCGAGATCCGAAACTATAGTCTTCCCTGCCTTACCCCTCGGCGGACAATGCCATACATTCCCCACTAATAAATAGTTGTTTTTTATAAAAACAACAAACTGGGATTAAGCCTGACTATTTTGCAAAAACATTTTTCAACATATCTAAAATGACAACGGAAACATAGACAAAAATCCGAGATCGAAGTGACAGCAACTTTGATTGAAAAAGGGCCTAGAAAAATCAATCCTATGTTAATATTAAAGCTTTTTACAAGTGAAGTGGACCGATAAGTCCCAAAATTATACAGGCATTGTTAAAATATTAGGTTGTGTTAAAATATTAAGTTTAGTTCAAATCGGATAGTCCGTTCGCATGATATAAAATTAATTTTCAGCAAAAAGTTGACTATTTTATGTGGGAGATACCAGAAGAAGAGGACCAATGGGTCCCCCTTCCAACATGGATTTTAATTGAAAGAAATATTACCATGTGTTATTGGATTAACAAAATTTAACCCATTGTGGGGGAGTTACCAGAAGAGGTGGACCAATGGGTCCCATTTTGTGGTATGATATAGGCTACGTATAAACGTTACAATGTGTTTGGATGAAATTATGTATACTTGGTTAGTTTACACTAAAAAATATTGAACTTCGAAAATTAACTGATCAAATTTATTTTGTTATATCTGTTCTTTTCAGAAAATGCCTTTTGCAATAATTCGGTCGTTACATCATCCCTACAATTTGGTCAACACTTTCACAATTCCAAACCCGAACATCCGGATTCAACGACTACCTCGCATCTAACCACCAATCATCACAATCCCACGCCCCACCATCCACATCATTCCCATCATCACCACACTTTTAATCCACACCATCATCTGAGTCCACATCACTCGTCCGCATTCAAATTTAGTCATTCCGGTGTGTTGAGTTCTACATCACCGCCCAGTGTCTATCACCCCCATCATCATCATCACCATCAGTATAATGGGCAGAATTCATCTTCGGCATATGGTTTGCGGTCATCTTCGGATATCACTTCATTGGCATTGGCTCCCGTGTCGACTACATCCGATGTGGACGTCAAATATGAAAATCCCTACAACACGGCAATATCTTCCACCTACACCCTCAGATCGGGAAATTGTGTAGATTCGTCTACGGGTGTTTCATCAACCGATTCAGATTTCAAATTGGAGAGTTTGTATGCGGCTAATAATGGCATCACCACTAGTCACACTGTCAGCCAGCGCAGAGGTTCTCTACAACTGTGGCAATTTCTAGTCGCCCTGCTGGATGAACCGACAACAAAGTAAGTCCCACCTTTCCCCTTTTCGATTTATGTTTCACACTTTATTTCTGTAATCCGAATCATACTAATGTATTAGCTCCAGTTGCATTGCTTGGACGGGACGTGGCATGGAATTCAAACTGATCGAACCGGAAGAGGTGGCACGTCGCTGGGGCATACAAAAGAATCGTCCGGCCATGAACTATGACAAATTGTCACGCAGTCTTCGCTACTACTATGAAAAGGGCATTATGCAAAAAGTCAATGGCGAACGTTACGTTTATCGATTTGTTTGCGATCCAGAAGCGTTGTTCAATATGGCCTATGGTCACCTAAGTACTGGTTCAAATGCAACAGGTGTCGCAGCTTCCAAAATGGACTCCCATCAGCATCAACATAACGTTCACAGTCATCTATTGCCAGCGGTAGGAAAAAATAATTTAGAGACCGGCTTGTTGCTGAGAGATGCCAGTGGACAGAATGTGCTGGACGACGATGCAGCACATCGTGAAAGGTCTTCCATTAATCATGTCTCCATGACGACAAATAAACATCACGAACAATTGTATTATGGTAAATTTTAATTTGTTCAAGTGGACGCACACTAATTTATGTGTACGTGTATGTATGTATGTATATCAGTAAATTGCAGGACAACAACAACATTGTTAAATTCTTAATTAAAGAAAAATAATACCAAAAAATTACTGTTATGATTTTTAATTTGTTTTCTTCAGTTCTAAAGAAAGACAGTGTTAGACTTCAACGGGAGAGATATTAACTCCCAAGCATCCGATAACTTAAAGTAATTTCAGTCTTCAGATGCGGAAAATAATTGAGTTTTCAGAAAACTTTATTTTTGAACATTCATCTTACTGCATTTGAAAGGAAATTTAAATATTTATTTATTTAAATTTGTATGTGTGTTTACATGGAGGAACATACATTTATTTAGTGTTGAACAAATTACTTAAACAAACTATGACTTTGATATGTTTTATACAAATACCAAGAAGCTCATGTTATATAAATGTTATTATTACAAAAAAATTAAAATAAAAATTGCTTACATCTATTTAAAACCCAAAAAATGTATATATATTTAAGTACTACATAAAAATGATATACAGTGTCTCAGCGACTTCATGACGTCTTGGCTTTTTTGGCAGGAGATTCATCATTTTCTTCCTGGTCTTCTTTCATTTGTTCATCCTTACCGTTTTCGGTTTCATCATCGGTATTACTGCCACTGCTGCTACTACTCTCCGATTTCTCTTCGTGTTTCCGCTTTTCGGCCTTCTTGGGACTTTCTGATTTTAACGTGGCTACGTAACTTTTCACTTTGTCCGGTTGTGGACTGTATGCCCAGTGGATTAACTGCATATGCAGATCACTTGGCTTGCCATTGTCATCAAACAACTTAGAATCCTCTTCCTTAATTTGTGCCAAAATTTTCGTGATATTTCTATTACGTATAATATCCCATGAAGTACTGTCATCCGCTTCGGGAAACATGGTACGTAAATGTTTGTAATTGCCCTTGGCTTTGGGACCACCGTAGGCCATGAGGAACTCGGCTTGTAATTTGTCCTCAGGCTGTGGTAATTTTGCTATAACATCATAGGCGAAATAAGCGCGATTATTTTTAATCAGATTTTCTCTTTCGAATTTTTCGAGGAAATCTTCCAAAATTTTCACACCCTCTTTGATAGATTGAATTTTTTCTTCATTTTTAGTACCGGAAAGGACACGTTTCGAGCTTCCAATAAGACCTTTAATTGCAAGTTTCTGATATTCGGGATCACGATCTTCCAAAATTCTAAAAACAAAAAAAAAGGAAAAATTAGATGATAGTTGTTAATGAGTAAAAAAATAATAACAAAAATAAAATGTAATAAAAAATAAACTGTGGGAATGTACACATTTTTACTAGGATAACACTTATTCCCTTTTGATATCTAAAAATCATTAAAATGGGTAAATTTTTGCAGCTCTGGAAGAGACCAAAAATAGATTAAAGATTTCTCATTTTGTCTACATATCAACAAGTTGTTGAAAATTGTAAGATCAACTGAGCATGATTGTGAAGAAAACAATTTGAACAAATGAATTTAAAAAATATTTACATGTGACATATGTGACCTTGTGTCTATATCTACAATCTATTGTCACTACCCTGAAGGAAATGTGGGGTTTTGTATCGCTTCGCCTACTATTGTGGCGACATGTCCCCATATTTTCAACAACTTGTCTACATATCATGTAATAAGAAGAAGCATTTGCTTCTTCTTATTTTTATTTTATTATAAAAAATTTTGCCGGCAGTAGGCAGAAATTTTGTTAAAAACGCGAGTTTAAAGTGAATAAAAGTAACTGGATAATTAGTTATATTAATTGGTAAAGCAAAAAATGAGCAAAAGAATTTATAAACGATTTACAAGTGACATATGTTACATTGTGCCTACATCTACAAACTACGGACCATGTCACTAGTACAAGCACATGTTAAATGTCAATAGTAAAATGCATTGAGTTGTGTATAGTCGGTTGACAATGTCAATAGTAAGTCAGTAGTTATTTACTGTAGACATTAAATGTCAATATTAATGTCAATGTTAAATGTCAATATTAAAAAGCATTGTGTTGGGTATAGTCGGCCAATAGTACTGGTGACAATGTCAATAGTAAGTCAGTAGTGATTCACAATAGACATTTCCTACAGGGTACCTACTTGACGTATGGGTTTTCATATCACTCATACGTCCCATATATAACTCATACGTATCCCTTTGTTGACAATTGTGTTAATCCTTTTCTAGTAAACATGTTAAAACAATAAAAGGCTAATTCAGTATCAGTATGATTTAATGTGATATTTTTTACTCTGAGTAAAACTGATGCCTATAAACGGTTTTCTTCTGCGGAATAACATTTCAAAATCAAATCTTTAATTATTTTAATTTTGTGCGTAATTTTTTTAGATTAACTTTATTATATTTCATATTAACTATATTAACTAACTGTAGATTAATAACCAGCTTTGTTGCAATGTCTACTTTCTCATGAACAATTTAAATAATTATTATTGTTAATTAATAGTTAATTATGGTTTTTCGCTTTTTAATTCTGTTGTAAAGTTCAAAAAAATATATTTTGTAATACTATCAAAATATTGAATAAAAAATTAACCAAACACATATGTCATTGCTTTTTTACAATTTTACATTATTATTCATCTAAGAAAATAATGTTGACATCATCAGCATTTCAAATCTGAGCTTAAAAATGTTTCATTCAATGCCAGCTTATTGACACGTTATACTTAACAGAAAACAGTATATAAATAAAATTAATGTAATAATAATGGCAACATAACTCTTCGTCAAACTCTCACTATTAGCATTCATCCACATTAAGATAAGAGATTTAATATAAAAATACTTTTGTTGTTGTTTTATGGTAATTTATATTATCTGACAGTATTCTTTTTTATTCGCCGTTTCAATTCAAATGCCACCGATGACGTAGTAGTTACACAGATTGAAATAACAAAATCTGTTTTCAAATTTTCAAAGTGCTTAATTATAATATCTACAAAAACATTTTAATTAATTTGATATACACACAGTCGACTAACATCTCTATAATGCTGCAGTTATGGACAGCACATTTTCCACATTATAAACACATAATTATAATGTTATAGATTCACAAGTTAAATGTTCTCACTTAAAATATTATAAACTTCGTTTTAGAGATGTTCGACTGTATGTATATGTCCACAAATTTATTTGACTCAATATTTATTTATATATAAAAACAGTCAATGCATTTGAGCGTTTGAAGGCGGTGTACATAAGTAGCCGGCAAAAAGTCACGTTATTGTTTGTCTACATGTTTGTAGTTTGGTATATATGTATATACACATCATTCAGTCATATATTTATGAGGGTGTATATACACGTTGCTAATACACAAATCACAATATATATAGGCAAATATAATAAGGTAAATATAAAAAAGTTTAAAAATTCTTAAAAAATAAAGAAGACAAGGATGGAACAGTGAACAATTGTTAAATACCGTTAGATTTAAAACAATTCGACATTGGTTTGTGAATTGTATCTAATTAGACAACCATGTAAACAATAAACTTTGACAAAACGTAGACTTATTCGCTATTTTAAATACTTGTACACAATTTGAAATTAACAATTAGTGGAAAATAAGTGTTTGAATTCATATTTAAAATTAATTCAAATATCAATCGATATTTAATTGTAACAAATAATTGGTCTGTTCCCGTACTGCAAGAATCTACTAGATTTTACCATTTTTTCGATAATTCAATGATAATTTTCTTTGTTCTAAAATCTAAAAAATATAGTATTATATTGTCATGATTTCCTGGAAATAATTAGAAATATTATAGCTATTGATATTTTTCATTTCAGTTTCATACTTCAATTTATTCTGAAGCGTTTTTTATTAAGTGATTTTAACACAAACACTTTATATAGAGACTAAATATTAAATTCTAAAAAATACGTTATTTTAACCAATTTGAATATTTACTGTGGAGGCACACCATTTCCATTGGTATTTCCAAACCAAATTGAATAGTATATTAAAAGTATATTTTATTACTACACTATACACTGAGATCATACCTATTTCGTGTTCAATTTAAGGGAAGACATAAACAAACGCTGATTTTCGTTTGTTGTTCAAAAGTTTCGACACGATATTGAAAACTACCAAGTGACATCATGACATCATTTTCAACATAGACCTTCACGCTGTTCTACGCGTTTTGTCTTGTATTTGTATCGAAATATGAAAACGCATAACAAAATGAATTTGCCACCTTTGTGTATATATGTATATTGATTTGATGAACTAACAACAAATATTAAACGGATACACACTTCGAATACCATATGGCTATATCACTATCTACATATGCATATACATACAGATAATTTATTTCCTATTAGGGGAGACTGGGGCACCTTCGGCATCGGGGCACCTTCGGCAATCGCGTTTTCGATATGAAGCTCTCACCGTACATCACTAGTTTCGATACATAGGTATCGAATATCGAAATAAATAACTGACACAAAGTTTGAAATTTCTAGCTAATAAACTTATTTAGATACATAGGTTTTTGTATTTTTATAGATGTTTCTGTAATATTTCAATTCCATTTCGTAAGTATTTCGTGTATAAAACTTTTAAAATTTTTAAGGCAATATTATTAAAAAGTGGTTAACTACGATGTGTATTATTATAAAAATATTTAAAAATATAAGTTTTTACAAATCTGATCGAAAAATGAAAAAAACTATAAAAAGTACATTCGGGGTACATTCGGCATTTTAAAGTGGGGCACATTCGGCCATATACAGATTGTGCAATATTATTTCCCTAAAATTTTTTTGAGTTTGTCTTTAAAACTAATCCTTTAATATGGCTCGAATTCGCATATATAAGATCAGACGTGCTTGTATTGACGAAAATGCGATAGAAAACCCCTATTTCTGATGGTGTGTGCGACCTTCAGATGTAAACGTCCGACGCTAGAAAATAAAGCCCTATAATTCAAACATTGTGTGGCGTATTAAAACCAAATAGAGCCTTTAGAGATCAGAATTTCAACTAGACTGATAGCGATGACAATTACCCGGCTATGACTATGATGCCGAATGTGCCCCATCAAATGCCGAACCTACCCCGGGTTGGGGCACATTCGGCGAATTTGACTTTTTTTACAAAACTGTAAAATTTGTTAACTAATACTATTTTTTTATATCTTTTTTGTACTTTTTTTTATAATTAAGAGTCAGAGGACAATAATCAGCCATAAAGTTGTTATATATGTTGAATAATTACTGAGATATAGAGCTCTAAAAAAAAAGTGCCGAAGGTGCCCCAGTCTCCCCTACTTTTTTTCAAAACAAATATGTAAATGATAAAAATATAATACATTTTTGCGCAACTTACTTCAGTGTTTTCTCGGCGGATTCTTTATCCTTGAAACCTAGACCAGGTACCGTCTCCACTTTGTCATCGGTAGTGGTTTTGGCATTCCTGTTTGCTGCATCACCGCCGTTCTCAGCCAACCATTTCTCAAACACCTCAATAGCATCATTGATATTTTTAACTTTATCTTCGGCTTTGGTCACTAAATTCGCACAACGACGAGAGGAGGAGAATTGAAAACAATTAGTACTACGATCTAATCAGTTTCATCGCCAGCAATCGTCTTACTCGATAGAACACGTTTCGCCCTGCCCAATAGGCCACGTACTGTTAATTTCCGATATTGCATGTCATGGCTTTCGAGCAGGACTAGAGTCTCCTCGGCTTTTTCCTTATTTTTGAATCCGAATTTCGAATCTTCTTTATCTGCCATGTTTTCGAAGTATTCTTCGTTATTTTTCGTATTCTAGGTCTGTTAACACGCACGGTCAAAGCACAACTGAATATTGAAATTTTGAACGCATTCGTAAGTTCTTAAAATATTTCGAATCGGTCCGCTGGCATATATAAACAAACATACCTACAGATATATGAATGTACGATTAGCTTTCTGATTCAAATGCTTGTTATACGTACTAACGAGCCGTATAAATTTTGTTAGTGTAGATATTAGCTATTAGGAGAGCGCAAGAATTGTTTACTATCAACAAACAGGGCTGCCAGATTTTTTTTGGGAAAATCGTCAAAATAACGATTTTTTTATCAACACGATTTAAAAGGAACATAAAAGAGGTATTCAATTTATTAAACACGTTTTTTAAAGCTAATAAAGAAATTCATTTATTTTATAAATAAATATTTGAATAGCCATTTCGACTTTAATAAAGTCATTCATTTTGAAAAGAAATATTTGTGTTAATCATTTTCAACATGTCGGTTTTAATTAACGTATCATAACAATTTGTTCTGTTAACTTTTAAATAATCGTTGGTATAAATTTCTCCATTGAATCCTTATTGGGGGAATATCGACTTTTCGTTTTATTAAGATTTACTTAGCTGAAAACACGCTCAACATTTGCTGAAGAATGGGGTAATACCATTACCTTCCGTACAAATTTAGTTATTATAGGAAAAACATATGAACCATCACCACGTTTCAAATCAAATATTGCATTCCAAAAACGAAATAAATCGGTTTCATCATTCTCACAAATCAAACAACCTTAGTTCGCGAAATTCTGAATCCAATTTTTGTTTTTCATCTTCGTTCACAAACTGTGGAAATTCTTTAAGGATATCGAAACATTAATTATTATTTTCATTACTAATATACGTGGGACTTATCACAGATACAATTTTAAAAATGCTTTCAAATCGAATCTTTTTAAAATTGTAATAACTTTGTATAAATTGAAACTTAAATTTAATATAACAACTTTTCCGTTCACCAATTTTCTTCTATTTGCCCGTGTCAAAAAAACAACAACCGTTAACTTTTATTTGTTTTGTTGATGTCTACCCAGAGAACGGCACAGCTGATTGGTAGTTTTTCATCTATCTGGGTAAACGTAAACTGTTGTTGGCTTTGTAACAATACAAAGTATACCTCAAGCACATATGCCAAATATTAATATTCTTTTTACTTTTTCTTTCGCTTTATACATTTTTGATGTTGCCATAACAAAAAGAATCCAAATATTGCAATATTACTAAAATGACCAAAAATCGTCATTTTTTGGGCAAAAATCGTCAAATCGTCATTTTTCAATTTTTGACCAAAAAATCGTCAAAATGACGATAAATCGTCAAATCTGGCAGCCCTGTCAACAAACTGACGAATGCTCTCCAAAAACAACAACAACAAACAATTATTACTATGAAAAGAGTCCGACAAAGAGTGTGGGATTAGGAACAACACAAGAGTAGATAGTTATTTGACAAAAAAATATACATTTAAAAAATGATGTCATTATTCAACGAGAGTGATTTCAATACGAGACAGGTTCACTCAATTTTGTGATACAAAATAAATTGTTAACGGAACACTTTATAAGAAGACCTCGTATTTTAATATATTTCTAATTATTTTTCAGTATCGGATGGGAAAATGTTGAACCGATTTGTTTTGTTCAAATGTAAGGATCGAACATACACTGGCGAGCCATAAAAATGCAACGGCGAGTGAAATTATGTTTTAGTGTGGTAATTCTAAAATGATTTTTACTTTTGTAATAACGATTTAACTCTTGTAAACCGAATTTGGAACAAACTGTGGTTATTTTGAAAACTTATAATTGAAATAATAAACAGAAAATGTTAAGAGATATATTACCAAAGCTTGCATTTTATGGTTCGTTACTGTATGTCTGAATGAATTTGAAGTTATAATTTTACAAAATTCGGTGTCTAATTATTGATCTGTTCCCGTACTGCAAGAATCTAGTACTTTTTACTACGATAACGAATTCTCCTTTATGATATCGACGAAAATAGTAAAATCTAGTATATTCTTGCAGTACGGGATCAGACCATATATATGTATGTTTGATAAACCAATAATATTTCACAATGTGTACAAATTGTTACTGGATATAGAGTAACTTCGGGTAATGTGGACCACCATTTTCTTTTTTTGATATTGTGGGCGTAACAACGGTAAGAGATAAAAACAAATTGTTTTCACATCATAGTAGATTTGTTGGCTAAATATATTCCAGGTCAAAAATTATATATATTTGTCCATAAAAATGTTATTGCATTATATTTCAAAAAACTCTAAGCTGCAAATAAAAATAACTTGGCGGGTAATGTGGACCAGTATGTGTGGGTAATGAGGATCAGTAAGTTAAAGGTAGGTTGTGGATTAATTGTGATAAATTTCAATTTATTGCACTCTTGGCTAACAATAAATGCAAAAATATATGGGTCCATGTTTTGGAATAGCCCCCATTTAAGGGTACCACCCCATTTGCGGTATTTTGAAGGTCCTTGCTTGATTATCCAACCGAGGCACCTATAATTTCGGATATCGAGTTTTCAGAGGATAGAATACCTCCTCGCATATTAAATGCGTTCTTGTTTCGAGCTGGTCCTCATGAAAATGTCCCACTTTTTATAGTGGTCCACATTACCCGACATTGAATATTTTTATTAAAAAATAATTATCGGCTTTAAAAATGAATAAAAATTTAAAAATAACCGATTGTAATTACTGATAAACGTGTATTTTTGTTTAAGAAAACAAGAAAACCACATAACCTCTTTATATTCGAGAAAAACAAAATGTTCGACTATTTTACAAAATCGTTCGATTATTGTGCTAAAAAATTTTCAAATCACACTTTTACAATCAGAGCTACATTTTCACCTACTAAATTTTCAACATTGCAATTATTTTTTAAAAACCAAGTTTGATGTTTGTTTTCACTAATTAGGAAACCATTTATCAAGGCGGCATTGACATATTTTAAGCATTTTCTTAGATATGGGGGGTGGTCCACAATTGGCGCATGGTCCACATTACCAGAAGTTACTCTAAGGATTTATATGTTTCTGTCAGATATAAAATATGTTTGCCCTTTCAAGGCAAAATTAAAATAACAAAAATTTCTATATTGAATCGAGTTGCTCAAATACTACCAATTGTGATGATTAAGGGTCATTTATGTATGTGTGACACACACAATGCATGAAGAAAATCAAACTTTTTTTGATTTTGAAAATGAATCCCTATCAATCTGGTGAATAATATTCATTTTGAAAGTTATCAGTAAATAATTTTGTCTACAAAAATAATAAAATTGTGACGGAATAAAAAACAACTGAATTTACGACTCAAAATGCAATTTTTGGGACAAAAATCGATTTTTTGGAATAGTGATTGAAGAGGTTGCCATACACTAGTCTATCTAGAATCAATATCGTGCAGCTACAAACTCTTGAGGCAACACATACTTATAACATAGAGATATAGGGCATAAAACCATTTTGTTCTGATTGGCTGAATCAAATTTGCCTAAATTTTGAAATGTCAACGCGAATTGATTTTTATTTGCCTTGTTTACAAATGTTGACATATAATGTTACCAAAAAAGTTGCTTTGTTGTAGTAATTCGCCGATGCGACTACCTAATATATGTGCCTTGAACAGTACATTCATTTATACAAAATATGTATATTGATTTGATAGAACAAGCCACCTTTAAGTACGATTTTACTTGGAGTTGTTGAACAACTCCACATTGGATTTTACAAAATGTTTTTCGAAACATTTTGCGAATATTTTTACTTGGGTGAGTAAACTCTCTCCATAAGGTTGCTGAGTAATTTCTACTGGAAAAGTTATCGTTTGTCTATTATTAGGAAAGGATCATGGTACAATTATAAAAGGTAACAGCAAAACCCACTCTCTGAAACTCTCTGAAAGTCGAACTTGGGTCCATTATAGTCCCCCTCCAAACCAGATTCAAATGATAGACCACAATTTGCCCTTTCCAAAATGGTGCGATATGTGGCTGTATCTGTTGTGGATCAAAAGATATGGGCCTTAGAACCTTACAAAAACAAGAAAATTCTGTCGCGTAGCCGGTATTGGTATCTGTCCATAGGAGAAAGTCTTAAATCCCCGGCCGAAGGCCGGTCACCCAAGAAAAATATTCCATTTAACAAGAGATTCAGTCGCGCAGCCGGTGTTGGTATCTGTCCATAGGAGAAAGTCTTAAATGCCCGACCGAAGGCCGGATACACAAAAAAAATATTCTATTTAGAAGGAGTTTCCGTCGCTTAGCCGGTGTTGGCATCTGTCCATAGAAGAATGTCTTAAATTCCCGGCCGAAGGCCCGTCACCCAAAAAAAATATTCCATTTAACAAGAGATTCTGTCGCGTATCCGGTGTTGGTATCTGTCCATAGGAGAAAGTCTTAAAAACCCGGCCGAAGGCCGGTCACCAAAAAAACACCATGCAATTTAAAAGAAGATTCTGTCATGTAGATTTTCCTTGTTTATATAGGGTTCTAAGGCCCATATCTTTTGATCCACAACAGATACAGCCACATATCGCGCCATTTTGGAAAGGGAAAATTGTGGTCTATCATTTGGGTTGGAGGGGGACTATAATGGACCCAAGTTCGACTTTTTGGGAGTTTTTCAAAAAAACGGGGTCTAAAACCCAGTTTTTTGACTATATCTACCACTCAATGGAAAGGTATTTTTATAACCTTTAAAATGATACCCATTTTATATTAACCTGATCCGTAGAACCGGATATAACCGGATACACGTACCCGAACTTCCAGGTCAAATAACCGGGTAACCGGGTACGTCCCCCAAGAAAAAAAGATATCCCCATAATTAGGGTAAAAATACCTACCTCTGGAAAACATTTCAGAAAAATCTGATCGTTTTTACTAAACTAGAGTTGTTCCCTTGTTGTTACCTTCTATTATTATACCATGGGAAAGGATATGGAATTCAACCTGAAAAGTTGTCGTTTGTCTATTATTAGGAAAGAATATGGAATTCAACCTCCCTCATTCTGGACTAGCAAGATAATCAACATAGACCATGTAAATATCATCCTGTAAAATATTATAATTATGGTTACGTTTCTGTCACACAGCATAATTTTTGATGCACAACACAAGATTTTAAATATTGGACAAACTGTGTTTCTCTTTCTTTGAGGCTAAAATAGATTAATTGGGCATTATTCTATTCAAATAATATTGCCATAGTATCGATTACATATTTCTACTTGTTCCGAACTAATATTTGGCAAACATATTCTCTTCTTTTTTCGTCAGTGCATGAAAACAAAAGGGAATAAACAACACATTTCAAAATATTTTTAATTTTCAAATACTTCTTTTTATAATTTTGTGTGTGACAAATTTGACACACCCCGACAGACCATGGGACCTATTTTGCACACTGTGGGTGCAGAGCAACACACATTAAGTAAAAAATTCATTCAGTTTATATACTAGAAGAAGCGACGTGTAGAACAGAACATCTAGTGTACAGCAAAATAAAATATACACAACTAAATTAAAAAAATTAAAAATCAATCAATTTATTTGAATTCAATATGTATTCAGTAGTTTAAACTCAATGAAAAAATGATTTGAATGAAGTGGTAAAATGTGAGGTGGACACAGTTGGCCGGATGGGACTATGAAGTATACAGACGAAGGGCGGAACGAACAGACAGCACAAAAAGCAAATTGCAGCAACAATTTCAATTTGGTAAAGAAAAATAAAGACAAACAAGTAAACGAATCAAAAGCCGCCTATATACTGGTCACTGGCCGGACAAGGTACCACTTTTGAGTTGGGACAAATCTTAAGATGTCCAACGATGTACATTTGGCCAAAGTTAGTAAAATCCACAGAAATGCAACGACAAAGGGCGCGCTCACTAGCCGCAGCAACTTCCGTCTGAGTAGTAAAGGCGGAGGCGAAGTTATTGACGATATACGCCCACCTACAGATGAGGAATATCTGTTTGGCAGCATAAGCCCCCGAGGCGGTTGTATCCCGATGGCACAACACTTTTCTGGAGGGGATCCATTGGATTCTCCAGACCACACGCAGCGCGACACAACTGAAAGTGATAACAACATAAGTTCCTGCTCTACATTGGACATCGTTAACAAGGTAAGCAGTGGGGAGGAACGAACACTGATGGGCTACCATTCATTTGGAGGTCATCATTTCGTAGGGACGGTAGGGGTCTGGGTGTTGCAATTTTCTTTGCGCAGCTGCGTGCCGAAACGCATTACAAAAACATAAACCACTGAGCAGCAGCTGTAGTAGGTGCAAGCGAGTTGGAGAGTGAAGATGACGTTTAGGCTATTGCGAAATGTTCCAATGTATTGGCACATCAGAATAAATTTGGAAATATAATAGAACGAAAGATAAGAAAAGTCTAAAGAAAATTCCACAACGACCGACGACGTAATAATTCAATATCAATGTTCCTAATCCACAAATAGGAAAAAAATGATCTCAGAACAGCTGTTAAGGCGAAGTGTTAGCTGCATGTGTTGTTCGGAACAACAACGTCAGGAGTCAATGTTGAAGCGGCAGGAAATACGACGTAGTTGGGAATATACATTAGTTGCACAGCCAATGCCGTTGAGGCCCATAACTGTCTGCTTATTTAACCCACTTACATGGAATATATAATTTGTAAGTATTGATTACTTTCAGGTGGATAATCTTTCCCTGCAACAATTGGAAACTAAAGTACGCGAGCTCACCCAATTGCTGCATCAGGCTGAAGAACAAAAGTCCGCAATTCAACAACAACTAGAGGAATGCAAGGCAGAAAAGGAACTATGTCTACGAAGACTTGAAGTGGTTAGTGCAGCCCATGAGTGTCGCATCACTGAGATGCACTGTGTCATTGCAGAGCTAAGCAAGAAACTACGCAGTAAACAGGAATCTACAATATTGGAAGAACAGGAGCCTGAGGGAAGTGGTAAGATCCAATACATTTCACGAAATGTGATAGCTCAACTAATGTTATTCGATTATAGAAATTAGTTACCAAGAGGGCTCAGTCTACAATTCCGAATTAAATTTAACAAACCCCGATGCAGAATGTCAAACGGATCCTCTCGAAGAAGCAGAATATTCACATGCAGAAGTTGATCACAATTTATGCAGTGAGGTTACCGATGAAATAAAAATCTCCGATATTAACTACAAGGCACAGGTTGAGGTAGTAGGCAATCGTTTCCCACATATTAAAGGGTATGATGAAGTCAAAAGATTTTTAATTTGTTTCCAGGCATTGCAAGAAGAGATACTGCACCTGAAGGCACAAGTGGCGTTACTACAATCGGAAGTCAATGCTAACTGCACAACTGGTGTAGGTGTTGGCTCTGCTGTAGAGGAGCCACCAAGCATTGAGCACTTCGGGGCCGATGTTGCTACCCAAAGCCTGGACTCTCCTTCCCTACAATTAACGCACAAAGACGTTGATGATCAGGAGCTGAATGACTTGAATAACACGTCTACACTGACCGCTGTCGAAGATCCATATGTCACTAGTCCACACAAAATTCCGGCAATTCCTAAAATGGCTGAACGTGTCCGATTGAAATGCGCAAGTAAATCCGAAATGGACAATATAACAGGAATAGATCTGCGAAATATGGAGGTAAGAAAGTCTACTCGATTCAACTTGGAGTTCTATGTATGTTATGAACTTGATTTTCGATTTAGATAAAAAACGCCAACATTGTCGAGCATTTGGTCTCTGACTTGAAGCAAAACAACAGCAGCCTAATGGAGTCGTTTATTGAACCCTCTCAATTGGACAATGAATTGCAACGCCTGCAACGTAAAGTTGAACACTTAAAAGTACAGAACACGGTACTCTCACTCACTTTAGATGAATCGAAGGAACATTGTGAGCGTCTATACTTGCTGTGTGGCAAATACGAATCGAATGCGATTGCTTTACAGGTGGCCTTAAATTGCAGTGACCGTGCAATTGAAGCATACGATGTCATGCTCGCTTTATTGGAAAGCAAGTAAGTGTTTGGTTCAAAGTTGCAATTCAAATTCATTATTTTGTCCCTCTTTAGGTTGGGCCTCATTAAGGAGAAATCTGCAGCGGCCGAAGAAAGTCGAAAAGCAGTTGAATCAGTTGCCAGACATTTGTTGGATCGCTTAGAAAGCGAAAAAAATATTTGTGAAAATAGTTTAGGCCCTTGGCAAAATAGGTAAATCAGTTAGAAATCAACGTGTCTTTCAGTTTGTTTTTCTTTCAAGATACCTATAACTCTTTCAAATCTTCCAGTTTTAGTATTCCCGATAAAGTGTCTTCTAAACCATGGACACCAGAGGATGACAACCGTTTACGCTACCATGTTTCAAAATTAAAAGGTAGACGTGCCACAGTCCAAAATACAATTGTACAGCTGGAATCACCATTTAGTGATTCTTTTGAAAAGTCACGATTAGCTTTGGAAAACAAAAAGGAATTGAGTGGCAACAAAGAGAAATCCTCTGCACTGGACTTGGAAATGGCTGTACTGATGCAGGAACTATTGAATCTCCGTGAGGAAAATATCGCCTTAAAAACCAAGGCAGAGCAAGCAGAACGAGACAAACAGTATGCAAATGATCGAATAGAAGTCTTACACGAAGCCCTGAGTAATTTCAAACAACTGCAATTGCAATTCAACTCGGATTCAACGGAATTGTTTAACCATCAACACCACCAACGGCAAAGTCATTTAGAACAACAACGAACATCTTATTCAGAAGCGGAACATGCAGCTCTAACCGAACAGCAATTGATCGAAGCCCTGGGTAGAGAGACAGAACTCAAGGGGCGTATACAATGTCTGATAGCCTCGGTCACTGAGACACAAAAAATGTCAGATGAAAAATATGAACATCTACACACCAGTGTCAGGGAATTGCAGAAAACCAATCTGTGAGTATAGCAATTATTACGATTAGGTTTTCAGCACTAACGAATTCACACGTTTCTCGCCCATAGGAGTCTTACACAGATTATTGAGCAGAATAAACGCAAATACCAAACACGGATCCGTCGCCTGGAGCAAAAAATAATGGACATTTCTTTGGAAATGGGTCGCCAGCAGCATTTGGCCAATGATGTTCCTCACATAGCATTCGGTGCAAATAAATACAAATACAGACAACATACATCATCACATAATTCAAACGTAACCCCACCACCCACATCTTCTGCAGCCCATCTAAGGCATGCAGAAAATGTTCCCGAAACCACATTGTAGTAAAAAGGGGAATCAAATCTTTTCCATATATGCATATCTATATTTTGACACAATATAAAATGTATTTGTATGCCCACATTTACCCCCCTACTCCCTCGGTCAGTCGTGTCTGAAATGTTTTCCTTATTCGTTAATACCGGTCTGCATTTTTCCCTCATTTATTATTGAAATTTGGAAACGATAAGATGTGGAACGCGTAAAAAACTAACATACACACACATATGTGCCATTCGTTATTAAATTTAGCTTTGTAAAAACATTTTACAACATCAGCATTGTTTAATTTTATTTTATTATATTAACAGAAATAGAAACTATTGCAATAATACACTTATTAAAAATACATACATACTTACCTTAATAGCAATGTTAGCCCTTTAGCAAGAGATGTTAAATGTAAACAGAAAATTTACTACCAATGATGATTATGTCGAAAAGTGCAGCTTCTATTTGCTTTTTTGTAAAAAAATATATATATACATAAATATAAATAATACATAAAGAATAAATTTGCAGTTTTATTTATATTACAAATAGTGTTAAAAAATAAACAATTCTGCCTGGGGTAATAAAAATAAATTGAATTTGGAATCAGATGACTTTAAATTGCTGTTTCAACCAAAAGTTCAAATTTTCTGGTCCTAAGTGTTCGCACTTATTCCATTTGACGATGGCAACATAACACAATATTTATCTATGATATTATTTTATTCTTTTTTGTATATAATATTTTATTTCGGTGAGTTTTGATATTTCCTCTGTTTTGTTTCCCTCGCTAATTAAAACGACATTAAAATTTAATTAATATGCATATTCATTTATTGTTCTTCGTCTTCAGCGGATTTCATTTCAACATCGTTGTCCTCCTCGTGCGCTTCACTTTGTATTTTCGTTTCTTCGGTTTCTGTTTCAGTTTGTTTACCTTTATCTGTATCCTCTTCCACCTCCTTATCTACATGGTGTTCTGCAACCTGTTGTTGGTCAGATTCTGTTTCACATTCCTCTGAAACTTCTTTCTCTGCGATACGTTTTCGTAGTTCAAGTATTTGTTTCTCTAGCTCAACACATTGCTGTTCGATTTCATAATTTTTAGAGACCAACAATACCCAACTGGCTTCCAGCTGCCTCAGTTTTTCGCCGGCTTTTGTTTGCGCTTGCTTTCGTTGCCAGTTGACATCCTGTATTTCTTTCTTCAATTCCTGCAGCTGCACCTGTGCTTTGGCCTGCATAGCCACAAAGACTTCCAAATACGCTTTCCAGGCTTCTATTCCATAATCCAACATTAACTCTAAATTCATTGCTCGAACCCACTGATGTTCCAATTGAGCTTTAGAATTATCTATGGACTCTTCCCATGCTGACACTTCAGACAAACGACTGCCGGATGGTGGTGGGAGTTCGTAGCGCTTCATACTTAGTGTCTCCATAGGTATGAGATTTTGTATACGTTCAAACTCCTGCGCCATTAATTTGGTTTCAAAAATTGATGTGGACAATGGCGGTAAATGTTCCAAATAGTTTTTAGTGGGTCTATATCGACGACATTCTTCTTCGACCATTGCCAAAGCCTGAAAATGGTTCACAATATTAACGATAATTCTTTGGATAAATATTGTTTACCTACAGATTCTCTAACACCAGGATCATCATATCCCTGATCGATGTAGGGCAAGGCATCAACAATGACTTCCCCAGCCATTATTTGAAATAGTTTTGTAAAATAATCTTGTGGCGTTCCCGTATGAACTGTTCAAATGAACGGTTCTGTGCAAACACGAAAGGGGACTATTTTCAATCATGCGAATTACGGATATAGAGGAAAGCAATAATAAAGAACGTTAAGGAGAAAGCAGAAAGCATAGTGTTGCTGGCGTGTTTAAACGTCGATATAACAACACATATAAGGTGTGTCTGGTTACTTTTCCAGTAACATTTACATGGTACAATTATAAAAGGTAACAGCAAATCCCAGCTGATTTGATTCCAACGTAATACTAGTGTCAATATGCATTTGACAAATTATGTTTTTAAAAATCACCCAACAGGAAAATTGGGAACGCATACAATTTGAAATTGTTCTTTTTTAATGTGCTCCCGTATTCAATTTACTCAATCTGCCTGCTGGGAAAGTTTGAGGAAGCAAATCTTTCTTGAAGGAATTACTCGCTATTCCCAGCATTGTCATATGTGTTACACATATATATGGCAATGGCTCAATTAAAGGATAGATGTGGAAGCGATAGAAATATAAATTTGATAGATTTTCATTCATGTTTTTCAATTTTTATTTTGAGGAATCGAAAATATTCCATTTTCAAAATAAAAATAATTTGATGATAATTTGTTTGTTTGTTTATATTTTTCTGTCAAATGAGTTGAACTTACAACAACAAATTTCCATGTGGTTGTTGTATCGTTTTTTGTACAACAACACTTGCTGTTACCTTTTATTATTATACCATGTAACATTTATTTAGTAAGTTCTAGTTCTGAGAGTAAACCTTTCTTACTCTCTTTTGCGATAATACTGAGAAAAGTAAACATACAACATTTAGTAAGATTTAGCAAATAAACAGATGATTCATTAAAACATTTGATTTGCAACAAAATAAACAACAAACACAGGACGAACACAATTATTTGTATTGCGTTTAATATTAAAAATAAAATAAATAATAAAAGAAAAATTGATTTGGTATGTTCCCCGGGAACATTTAAGCTTCCTGCATCCATACATTGCCCTCTTTCTGGAACTTGCCTAAAAATATAAGGAATTAGTTTCTAATTTAATGAAAGTTTGCATTACTTACGAATTTTCAATTTCAATTTATTTCATAAACGAGAATCTAGCCCAAAAGGCCAAAAGCGATTCATTTCATTTCATTTTCTGTAATTTTTATACAACATAACTTCAAATTGAACTTTGCAAATTAAAAAAATGTTTTGAATAATTTTTGTGTTTGGTCATAAAACAGCTGATCCGAAATTGGCTGAATTTGGTAACAATTGTTACCAAATATCGAGTAAACAGACAGAGCTATTAAATGGTGCCGTTTAAGCGGTGTACACACTATTAATTTTGAGTGACAGTTTTTATTCGATTACTGCCTGTCCAACAACCATGAATATTTTCGTGGTTGCCTGATGAAAGACGAACGTGAGATGCGACACTATCAAGCAAGAAACATTTGTGCAATACTGGCTTTCAAAAGCAATAGTGTGTACACAGTTTTAGAAACGAACTTAAACGACATTTACATTAGAACTTTTTACAACGTTAATCTACTCTATGAGGATTTATATAACAAGTATACAATGGAATTGACAATTGAAATCCACTGGGCTAACGAAATCCGGTACAATATAAACGTAATATAAAAACAGATTTTAAAGATGGAGGAGAGAATTAAAACAGAAAATCAAAATCTGTATGTTATGTTTCAATTTGTCATACATAAAAATGGCATATGTACAGACACATAAACAGGCAGCACATACGACATTAGAGATCAATTTACACTGCATCTGTTTTACGGAAATATTTTATTTATAAAGGCAATTACTACCTTAAAAGGAAATTACTGACTTAAAAGTACATTTTGAAAAACTAAACAAAATGTTTACTGTGAACAATTTGCTCAGAAAGTTTTAAATCTATTTAAAAATATTTACATTTTACTGGATGTTGTCTTTTCTACTTCTTGTAATATTTTTGTTCGAAAATGTAAACTCTCTCTTATAGTACGTTTACATTGGACTGGTTTTAGTTTACCCAGTGGGTATAATTTATTAATGTCATTGAATACGTGAAAAAAAATCATAATAAAGTCGGTTAACCCCGAAAAAAGTTCTAATGTATATGCCGTTTTGTCTGAAATGGATATTGGCAACCTTTTTTAATATGTAATCCATCTATCAATTTCAAATAATTAGTAAATATCTCCATTTTTAAACACATTGTTGTATCTACGTTACATCTTATATTCAAGGTGTATTTAAAAATGTGTATGCATCAGATACAACAACAAATATTTTACAAAAACAACATTGTTGTTATAGAAATTAAATTGTCATGCTGACAATAAGTTTTTGACAAAAATAAACAAAAACAATTATTAATTTATTTTTGTCAAGAACTATTCTTTGCGGAATAATTAATGAATTTGTGTATTCTTGGGTTATTAGCGGTTTTAGGTCAGTGAAAAATAAAGTTTAAAACCTGGTCGCGCTTAATTTTAAGTTTCCCACATGTTGTTTATGAATTACAATCTATTTTTTCTATGGAGTGGCTTCAAACCTTGCCTTCTTAAAGAAAATTGAAGAACATAAATCCCCGGCCAAAGACTTAATCATGGAAATTGTGTTGACCGTATAAAATTATTCCATAGGCGTATTTAACCTCCTCCGAGGATTGTGACAAGCACAAAGGGGCCGATTCCAATATAGGCTAACACAATCTCCTCGAGGATTATATCTGATTTAATCCTAGGTTTCCTTTCCGTACGCCTCTATGAATGAAGTTTTCTTGAATTTTTATTATTAAAAAAGCATAGATTTAAAGACGATTTTTGGAATCGAAATGTTATTGAAAATGTTTTTGACAATTTACTTTACAAACAAAAAAGTTTGAAACCATATGATTGTCACTTACACCTTATTAAATACACCTTGCTTATATTTATAGAGGCAGGAAACTTCAAAATATTAAACAATATTAATATTTTAATAATTTTTGCCACTGTACACATGTTTTGTGTAGATTTCGGACTAGGATTTTCTCATTTAAATTTTGAAAGCTGAATGTAAAAAAAGTAAAATTATGAAAAATGTGGAATCATATGTCTGCAAGGGACTACCTTGTATAATTATGTCATGATATAACAATTTATTTTGTTCATTTGCTATTTTTTTACAATTAGAACGCTAAAAAAGAAATCGAATGTCAGTATCTCTTTTCAAAATTGAGTTGGGAATATGATTTAGATCTTGTACCAATCTTGAAAAATTCATCATTAAACAAATGGATTTTAGAATATATTTTTCAAAACATCATACCACAATATAAAAATAATTTTAATTTTTATGTTGCTACTATATGGTCTGTTCCCGTACTGCAAGAATCAACTACTTTTTTCTACGATAAAGAATTTTCCTTTATGATATCGAAGTAAATAGTAAAATCTAGTAGATTCTTGCAGTACGGGAACAGACCAATAGTCTACCTTGAATCGGATATATAAATATAAACTCTACCATGGTATAATAATAGAAGGTAACAGCAAGTGTTGTTGTACAAAAAACAATACAACAACCACATGGAAATTTGTTGTTGTAAGTTCTACTAGTGTCAACTCATTTGACAGAAAAGTGTAAACAAACAAACATATCATCAAATTATTTTTATTTTGAAAATGAAATATTTTTGAATCCTCAAAATAAAAATTGAAAAACATGAATGAAAATCTATAAAATGTATATTTCTATCGCTTCCACATCTTTCCTATAATTGAGCCATTGCCATATATATGTGTAACACATATGAAAATGCTGGGAATAGCGAGTTGTTCCTTGAAGAAAGATTTGCTTCCTCAAACTTTCCCAGCAGGCAGATTGAGTAAATTGAATACGGGAGGACATTTAATAAAGAACAAATTCGAATTGAATGCGTTCCCAATTTTCCTGTTGGGTGATTTTTAAAAACATAATTTGTCAAATTCATATTGACATTAGTATTACGTTGGAATCAAATCAGCTGGGATTTGCTGTTACCTTTTATAATTGTACCATGAAACTCTGCATGTAGAGTTTTTAATCGATGAAAGCAAGTCCGCATCCTGTACATGTATTTTTGTAAAAATAAACGAAATTCGGATTTCTTTAGAAATACCTTTATAATAAAGTATCGCCAACGAATGAAGCTGAAAGAAGAATGCAAAAGAAATTCACAACGAGTCATCTGTTGGCAAAATTGGAAACCATATTTTAGGTCTTTACAACACTGTGTTTCGTTCAGTTGCAACTCTGTTTTGTCAGCCATGTTGTTCTTTCGTCAACTTGTTTCGTTATTTCAGTTTCTTTCCTCTTCTTTTTTTCTTCCTTTTTCTTTTCGGTCTTCTATTGGTTAATGGAGGACGTTTCTGCGGCTGCAGAATAAAATATTTTCGTAATTTTGGGAAAAATTGCCAATAAAAATGGTAAGCAGTGTTTGCAAATGAAAACGACCTCACCCTCGATGTGAATATATTGGAATTGTGTGAAAATTCGGCATTAAAATTGTGAAAAAGGCGGACGGAAATTTTGAGGTGTTGTCACACGTGTTTTTCGTTTCATCCATCTTCAGTCCTCCAGACAATGTGAAGTGAATTGTGAAATACAACGTGAACGAGTGGTTGTGGATATTCTAATTGAAATGTTTTTGTTTTGTGTTCGTGTTATTGCAGAGTTTAGCCAACGCCAGACCTTTGGTCTCCGTCTATTCGGAAAAGAATGAACAAATCAAGGAAAAGAGCATCTGCTTGCCAGCAGTGTTCAAGGCTCCCATTCGCCCCGATGTCGTCAACGATATCCACCAATTGATGCGTCGTAACAAGCGCCAGCCTTATGCTGTCAGCGAACAAGCCGGTAAGTAAATGTGGTGGAGCACGATTGAACTGAGAATGGATGAATATTGAATGTGTAATTGTTACAGGTCACCAAACC